GTCCGGGTATAACATTGACTGACTTTGAATGCGAGTCAATGGGATTTAATCGTGAAGAAAGCGATAGAAAGCTGACGGCTATCGGAATCCAATTACCAGTTGGACGGGTAGGTCAAGTGTCGGATACGGCATCAATAGTCGGATATCTGGCCAGCAATGCGGCCGAGTTTATTACGGGCAGTGAGTATGTGGCCGATGGCGGTCAACTGGTTGGCAATGTTTTTGACTCTAATACAGATTATTGATTTTAATTAAATAAAAATAATTAGTATATTATAAAAAATTATTAAAAATAATTAATTAAATTTATTTGTTTAGAAAATATTTTTTTTTTAAATTAAAACATTAGATTAGATTTTTTAGTTTTTTTAGTTTTAAAGACTTAAATTAATAATTAATTCAAATATTCGTAAAAACAAATACTGTAATTAAAATATAATTATTAATAAAATAATCAAGCAACTTTTTTTTAGTAATAATAATTTAATTCTTATTTAAGTTATTAGTAACTAACAATAATGTATATAAATTTAATATATATTTTATAACATATAAAGATTACATTTACTGTAATTTTTTTTTTAATATCAATAATATACAAATGATTTTTGTTGTTATTATTAGTATTAAAATAAAAAAATATTTATAAAAAACATTTTTGTTTTTTAAATATAATAATTAATTTGAAAAAAACAAACAAACAAACAATAATAATAATATTGAAATTTTAAAACTACTAACTTATAAGTAATATACAGTAAAAGCATATCTAAAAACTAATTAATTTATATATATATATAACTTTAACTCAACTAAAACAAATACACAATTATTATGTATTAGTTTTATTTCTACTTAAATTAGTAGTTATTTTGTTTGCAATTTGATTTTAAACTCAAACGGCACACAAAAGTCATTGATATCGGGATTAATACCGACTCCTCCATTGGTGTCCAATACTATATGAGTTGTTCGTTGCAATAGACGAACCAAAATCAGAAACAATTTTGAATAGACAAACCGTTCGCCGATACACTTGCGAGAGCCGCCGCCAAACGGTATATAAGCCGCCGATGGTTTACGATAGTGTCCATCCGATTCGTCCAGAAAGCGTTCGGGCATAAAGTCTAGACCGCGGGACCAGTAGTTTTCGTCGTCGTTTCGCATAACTATTCCCTGATATACGTTCACTACTGTATCTTTTGGTATGAAATAGTTGCCTAAAGTCATAATGATTTTTTATATATTAATTATTTATTGTATGTGTATGTGTATGTGTATGTGTATGTGTATGTGTATGTGTATGTGTATGTGTATGTGTATGTGTATGTGTATGTGTATGTGTATGTGTATGTGTATGTGTATGTGTATGTGTATGTGTATGTGTATGTGTATGTGTATGTGTATGTGTATGTGTATGTGTATGTGTATGTGTATGTGTATGTGTATGTGTATGTGTATGTGTATGTGTATGTGTATGTGTATGTGTATGTGTATGTGTATGTGTATGTGTATGTGTATGTGTATGTGTATGTGTATGTGTATGTGTATGTGTATGTGTATGTGTATGTGTATGTGTATGTGTATGTGTATGTGTATGTGTATGTGTATGTGTATGTGTATGTGTATGTGTATGTGTATGTGTATGTGTATGTGTATGTGTATGTGTATGTGTATGTGTATGTGTATGTGTATGTGTATGTGTATGTGTATGTGTATGTGTGTATACACCTAGACTTACCTAATTTTTCGTCAACTAATACTTTATGGGACACTCCTTCCGTAACAATATTTCTGAATCTCAATATTTCCGATATGTATGCCATCGTATAGTCACACCGTTGTCTGTCCTCATGACTGGGCAATCGATCGCCGATTACTGTCGCCAATTCGCGGCGCAATTTTAGCTGTACTTCCGGATAGTATGTCATAAACAATATCATCCATACGAACGTATAGTTTGTTGTTTCGGTACCGGCAATAAATATGTCGTATACACACATACCAAGGTTATCATCGACCAGATATTGATTTTGTTGTCTAGTTTTTTCCGACGACAACTGTCCACCAATTTCGGTGATTGCCAATCGGTATTTTGCTGCTTCTGTTATCAAACCATCGCAAATGTCTCTCAGATTGGCCTCAGAATCGTAACCATTGTAGTGATCCCTAAGCTTTTGTATCATTGATTGTTGAAATTGTTTCATTGATGACATTTGTTCGGCAATTAGTTTCCGATCGATAAACCGTATGAAAGCCGATGTCTCCCACATATGCGATCTGTCATCGGTTTCATCGGTAAAATCGTTGAAAAAGTTTCGGTAGTATTTAAGCTCCGGATCATCGAAATCGTAATTATTACTAAAAAAAAGTTTGTTTATTGTAATAATTTATTAATATATACCGGTATATATATAAATTAATATAATTTTTTTTTATTATACTATACATATTTACAGTATTATAGTGACTATAGAGTAATATAAATAAATTTAATTTAGTATATGTATAAACATTATTTAATATCTAAACACATATAATGTTATATTAACATTTTTTTTGAAGAAAGGGGGGGGGTAGGTAGGGGTATCAAAGTTTCAGTAGCATAACATAATATAATTTATCATTTTTTTATATTATGTTTCTTATAGTTAATTAATTAATTAGTTATATGATTGTGCTAGTATAATTTAGATTTTTTTTTTAAATATTCTAGATATATATGTATTGTTTACTATTTATATATATATATAAGAAAATTACTAACGATTCATTCCAAGCACATGTTATCAAAATGTTGACAATTAGATATAATATATAATCGTTTGGTACAAACGGTTGATTGTTGCCCTCCCTGTCCACTACCCAATCGATCCAATTGTCCACACAATTAATAATTATATCGACAAGTTGATCGCTGGCAGCAAATTTGCTTTTACAACAACAACAACAACAAAATAATTAATTAATAAATTTAATCATCAAGTTTCATTAGCAGTACATTAATGTACAGTAAGTTTTTTAAATAATAATAATAATAATAATACTAAAAATAAAGATTAAATTTTATAAAGATTTTATAATATATATTTACACTAATCTAAATACAGATTAATACCTGTATTGCATATATTGCATATCAATAACAAATTATTTGTTTTTTTTAAATTATTAAAATATAATTATAGATTAAAATATTTTTTTTTAAATATATTAATTAAACAATTAAATTGTAAACAATAAAAAACATACTTAACAACAGTCATTCCCAAACGTTTTAATATTTTATGTGATTCACCCGAATCGGTAAACAATATTCCCGTTTTACCATTCAATGGACGGGCAAACTCTTAAATTTAAAAATAATAATAATAAATAAATATATTTTCAAATTAAATTATTATATATTTTCCATTATATAGTTTACATTTATCACATCACATACAAACTCACTCATCACACCACAGACACACACACACACACACACACCACATACATACACCCACACAGACTCATACATATATACATATATACATATAATCACAAACATACTTAGGTGGTCCAAACGGGTATCGATCTCGGGTTGTCGTACTCGAAAGCCGACAACTTAGCCTTTCGGCCACCGAGACCCCATATACATACTGTACATAGACACACACACACACACAAACATATATATATATATATATTTATGTAACTTATTGTTAACCCATATGTACTTTAGGACGTCCGGCAAATGCTGTTTTGCGGAAAAATTCTTTAGCCAACTGTTCATTACAGACATAGACTATCGGTTTGTTTTCAATATATCGGGTGCAAAGGGGTCCGTATTTTTTAGCCATTTCACGGGCAATATCTTCATGATATAGCTTTGATCGTAGATCTAGTGATTAATTAATAATTAGTTAATAAATAAATTATTGTAATTAATTAATAATAAAATATTTAATATAATTTTTTTTGTTAATTATTAATAATTGAATTAAAAAATAATAATAATTGTTTATCTAATAGATTATAACTGTCTATAACTTATACAAAATTTATTTAATATAATATATAAATAACTTTATATAAATTAACATTTATTAATAACTAAAATTGTTTTTTATTTTTTTCTTTAAAAAAGTAAATAAATATTTTTAAACTTACATTTAACACTACCTAAAAATGGTATCGGAAATGGACCTGGAGGTAAACGATAGTATTCATAATAAAATTTAGCTAAATAGCAAATTAAATACAATGCAAATATTTTTAATAATATAATTAGATACTCTACTATTATTGACATTTTTATTATTTAGTAAAAAAAAACTGATAATATATTATGTTTATACTGTATATTAATAATATTTTTTATTATGTCTTTCAATAAGTTATTGTAAAATCATTAAAATATTTGTGTCACAATAATATAATTATTGGGTAATAAAAAAAGTGCCAATAATTTTATAAATTTTTAAAAATTTATTTTTTTTAAATAAATAATTTTAGGTAATTAAATGAATATACAATTATCTTGACATATATACAATAATGATGTATACAATATTCTGTATAGAAATATTCATATAAATTTTTTTTAAAATTAATAAAATGCTTATAAATTAAACATTATATTTTTGACACTCCCTCACTCACTATAATATTTAGTTTTTTCTTCCAACTATTACTATATTATACTATACTATATTAAAAATAATAAAAATAATTGACATAAATATAAAACTTACAAATTAGTTACGAAAAAAAATCATATTTGATTATAAATTTTAATTTCATATTACTTTATATTATATGAAAATATTATTAAATTGCAATTGCAATTACATACATTTACACTTTTAATATGTAGTTTATAATCTATTTCTAATTAAAAAAAATCAAATAAATATATCAATATTATTGAAATAATAATAAAAATACTCTCTCTCTCTCTCTCTCTCTCTCTCTCTCTCTGTCTCGTCCGTGGCTCAATGGCGTAATGAGCTAAGACGTCGGCTGTTTGCACGTGTTGCCTGAGAAACAACACAGACGTACGACGTCCGGGGATCGATTCCCTGGTGAGTCACTGTTGTTTATTGCCATTTCAAATATTAAGTAACAGCTAGTTTGGGTACAAAGAATCGTCCCCTTACCAAGCTGACTTACTGCTTGTAGGTACTCCTCTAACTATGCTTATGAGTGCTATACGCATGCTATGGGTAATAATACAAAAAAGGGACAGATCTCCAAAAAGTGTACCATACATAGTATGTGACGTGCACTATAAATCATCTCTCTCTCTCTCTCTCTCTCTCTCTCTCTCTCTATGGGGCCTCGGTGGCCGAAAGGCTAAGTTGTCGGCTTTCGAGTACGACAACCCGAGATCGATACCCGGACGGGCCACCTAAGTTTGTTGGGATTTTTAACGCGAGGAAACAGATAATATGTGTACGAAGAACTGTCCGCATATATAATGCTGTCCTATCGTTAATAGGGGTACTCCTCTAACTATTGAACTATCGGTGGCGGTTATGAGTGCTATACACAGTATAACCAACAATACTAGAGAGAAACATAGTTTAAGGGTTCTCAAAACCCCGTGCATGCAATCATTGTAAAAACGGGGGATATAAATCCTGGATATTCTCTCTCTCTCTCTCTCTCTCTTTCTCTCTCTCTTTCAATTAGCACTAATTTTGTTGTAAAATAAATAATTTAGCTTTATAAATGCTTGAACACACAAATAATGTATATATATAATGTATTATATGAATTTATAATAAACAGTATAAATATATATATATATATATATGTTGTTGTAATTATTGTAAAATGATTAAAATATTTGTATTACAATAACATAAATTAATTTAAAAATTTTTTTTATTTATCTCGTTATTTAATATATTCAATAACAACAACAACAAAAAATAATAATAAAATACTAATCATATTTCAATTGTAATTTTTTATATTTTAGTTTTATCTGGACACAAGTTTTCCGCCATCGACCACAAAACTACTGCCCGTAATATACTCGGCCTCATTACTGGCCAAAAATGCCACAACCGATGCCATATCCGACGCTTGACCCACCCGTCCGACGGGTAATTGGGTTCCCATAGCCGTCAGCTGTCTATCACTTTCTTGACGACTGATACCCATTGACTGGCATTCAAAGTTAGTCAATGTTAAACCCGGACTAATAAAATAAAAAAAAATTATTTATAAACTAAATTTTAAAATTAAATTACTTATATATATATATATATATCAGGGGGTAGGGGGGTCAAGCCGTTTTAAAAATGTAATAAAAGTCTACACACCACCTTAGACCCCACCCCAAAAATTTTTCGAGAATTTTGTAAGTTGACGCCACCTTAGATCCCCCTCCCCCTAAAATCCAAAACCTTGCTTAACCCTGATATATATATATAATAAAACTATATATTACTTAACAACATATAAAAAAATATATAAAAATAAAATTTTATGGTTTTTTTTAATACAAATTTTATACTATACCGTATAATTCAATTATTTTTTTTAAATAAACTAAGTATTAAAAAAATAATAATAAAATTATTATATATTATTTTTTAAATAATATAATTAAATACATTAGATATTATACTGTAATTACTTAATAGCATTGACTCTGATATGATGTTTGGGTCCCAACTCTGCGGCCATACATTTGGTAAACATAATTAACGCCGTCTTTGATGTATTGTATGGCGAAGAGTCTGAACTCTTTATAATTAATTAAATAAAAAAAAATATTAAAACTTATTTTAGAAATTAATAAATGATTTATTTTTTTTTTATTATGATTAATATTAGATTTTTGTTTTTTGTTAAATATTAGATTATTAAAAATTTACCGCACGTTTAGCTCCAATAGTAGAAATATTGATAATATTACCACCAGTTTTGGCCAAATATGGGACACATTTGTGTGTCATATATACAGCAATATTAAGATTAGTATTAATTGTTGTCAAAAACTTTTCATAATAACATTCATCAGTTATTTCTACAATACAATCAATGCCCGCATTGTTGACCAATACATCAATTTTGCCAAACGTTTGGACAGTTGTCTGAATCAGTCGATTGCAGTCCTCTTTATTAGTCAGATCGCCGACAACTTCCAGTGCAGTCAACTGTTTCGGTGATACATCTGTGCATTGTTTGGCCACTTTGGCTACACGTTCAGCATTACGTCCGGTGATCACAACATTGGCACCCGATTTGGCAAATAATAGTGCAATACTTTCGCCAATACCAGAGCTCGAACCGGTTATCAAAACTACTTTTCCGGTAAAATCATAGACAACAGACATTTTTCTATAAGATTTATATTTAAAAATAATTTTTCTTTAAATAAAATCTAATTAATAAAATATTTTAATAATTTATTACAACTACTACTTTTTTTGCAAAAAAAAATATTTTAATTTTTTTTAAAAAAAAAGTTTAAACACACTAACAACATATACTTTAAATAATAATCACAGTATATGTCTTTCAATAAGTTATTGTAAAATCATTAAAATATTTGTGTCGCAATAATATAATTATTGGCACTAAAAAAATGCCAATAATTTTACATATTTTTACAAATTAATTTTTTTAAATAAATAATATTAGGTAATTAAATGAATATACAATTATCTTGACATATATATATACAATATTCTGTATATAAATATTCATATTAATTGTAAATACAATTAATAAAATATTTATAAATTAAACAATATTTTTTTGGCACTCACTCACTCACTCACTCACTCACTCACTCACTCACTCACTCACTATAATATTTAGTTTTTTCTTCTAACTATTACTATATTACACTATGTATACTATACTATATTAAAAATAATAAAAATAATTGACATAAATATAAAACTTACAAATTAGTTGTTAAGATTCTAAAATTTTAATTCTTAAATAATATAGATTTTTAAAAATCTATAAATTTAATTTAGTTAATTGAAAATATATTTATATTATTTTTTTTTTAAAAATTAGTAACTTAAAATAAAACAAAAAAAAACTTGTTAATTGCATTTATTGATAAAAAAACAAATTAAGTTAATATATCTATTATTGTGATTAGTGTTGTAAAAAAAATTAGAAAATATTATTCTCTTAGTTTCAATTGGATAGTATAATCATAGGGCAGACAAAAGTCATTGATGGCCGCATTAATACCGATACCGTTATGTGTGGCCAATACTATATCGTAACGGTGTGTCCGCTGTATTAGTCGGACTAAAATCAAAAACATTTCCGAATAGACAAACTTATCGCCCAAACATTTGCGAATACCTGAGCCAAACGGTATATAAGCCGCCGATGGTTTCCTATAGTGTCCATCCGATTCGTCCAGAAAGCGTTCGGGCATAAAGTCTAGACCGCGGGACCAGTAGTTTGGATCGTCGTTTCGCATAACTATTCCCTGATATACATTCACTGTGGTATCCTTGGGTATTGTATAGTTGCCTATTATTATTATTTTTTAAACAAATAATAAAATTATTAAATTAAATTAAAGAAAAATTAGTTAAAATATTTTTTCAATTTGATAATTATATATTTTTTCTAAAAAATATAATAAATAAATAAATAAAATATAATTGAAACTGTAGTAAAATATCTAATACTATATTTTTTTACTTTAAATAATTAATAAGAAATAGTAATAAGAATAAGTAAATAAAATATGTGCAATAAAATGATGAAAATATGTATTAAAATAATATATATATATATATATAACTATTTTTAATAGTATATTATATAAAACATTAATTTTGTGACATTTGATTTTATACTTTAAATAACAATAACATAATTTATAGTATCATATAATTTTTTTAAAAAATATTATTGTTTTATTTGTTAATTAAAAATCCATACCTAGTTTGCTATCGATCAGTACTTTATGGGGATTACCGTCCGGTGAAATAGTCCTGAAGCGCATAATCTCCGATATGAATGCCATAGTATAGTGACAACTGTCTCTGTCCTCATGTCTGGGCAATCGGTCGCCGCCGCCGACGCCAATAACTGTGGCCACTTCGTGGCGCAATTTTTGCTGTACTTCGGGATAGTAGGCCATAAACAGTAGTAGCCATCGGAAAGTGGATTCCGCACCTTCGGCACCGCCGACCAACATTTCGTATATACAAATGGCTAGATTCTGGTCGGTTAGATATTGGGCCGATTGTTTACCGGCGGAGATGGCCTGGTTTTTGGCCGTAATCAGCGAATCGCAAATATCGCGTTCAATAGCTTCGGGATTATAATCCCTGTAGTGTTCGGTAAACTTTTCAATAATCATTGACTTGAATTTACCGATAGATTCAGTTTGTCTGGCAATCAGTTTTCTATCCAAGAATCTCATGACTGCCGACGCCTCCCATATATGTATTTTGTCGTCGGTTTCTTTGGGAAAGTCGTGTAAAAAATATTTAATCAGTTTGAGCTCCGGGTCATCAAAATCGTACCTACAGTACACAAACATAAAAAAATATATAAATAAATACAGTATATACAATATATGTTTATATACCAAGATTAAGCAAGGATTTTGATTTTTTTTTTGGGTGGGGGGTGGGAGGTGTAGTGATTAGGGTGTTATTTGGCATTATATGCCTCCATAATCATATTTGCTACACCCTGATATACTGTATATATATATATATATAAGGAGTCAGTCAATTAATCTTGCGTTGCGTAAAACTTTGATAACTTTTTAACGGTTAGAGATAATTTAAATCTGTAAATTACACTTAAGAATATCATATCGACCACACTTAATAGACACGCAATCACAAAACTAGGATGACCAGATATACAAAATATCGGGACCAATGCAGGACACTATGCTACAGGCAAAACTACAACTGACAAATTTATTTTGACTATGAAATTTTGTAGTCAAGAAATAATAGTTTAATATAAAAAAAAAGAATCATTAAAATCGAATTGGTATTTTTACTTTTATGGTTTATTAAGTTTGTCATAAATCATATTATATAAAATAGTCTAAAATAAAAATGACGTTATTTATGACTTGTATATATTTATTAGATGGATTTTTTTAATTATATTACTAATTCTAAAAGCAAAATTTCAATATGTCGATTAGTTTTTAAAATTACAATATAAATCACACTATTGTAATTTGATATTATTTCGAAAACTAATTGACATAGTAAAATTTTGTTTTTAGAATTAGTAATATAATTGAAATGTTTATCTAATAATCATATACAAGTCATAAATAACGTCATTTTTATTTTAGATTATTTTATATATTGATTTATGACAAACTTATTAAACTATAAAAGTAAAACTACCAATTCGATTTTGATGATTCTTTTTTATATTAAACTATTATTTCTTCACTGCAAAATTTTATTGTCAAAATAAATTTGTCAGTTGTAGTTTTGCCTGTAGCATAGTGTCCTGCATTGGTCCGGATATTTTGTATATCTTGTCATCCTAGTTTTGTGATTGCGTGTATATTAAGTGTGGTCGATATGATATTCTTAAGTGTAATTTACAGAATTAAATTATCTCTAACCGTTCAAAAGTTATTCAAGTTTTACGCGACGCAAGATTAATTGACTGTCTATTTATATATATAAATATATATAAATATATATATAAAAAAACACAAACGTTTGTCCCAAAGCACATGAGGCAAGTATGTTAACAAATAGCATAGCTATGTAATCATTTGGCATAATTGGCCCATTTATGCCACCCTCCCTGTCAACTATTGATTTGATTGTATTGTCTACACAATTGACACATACATCGACCAGTCGATCATTACGAGCATATTTGCTTTAAAAAAATTATATTTATTTTGTTGTTGTTGTTTATAATAATAGTATTATAATTATTAATAATTTAGTAGTAATTTAAAGTAAAAGATGATTCACAAAGTACGTTCGAACTTTTTTTTGAAATCTATGTCCCCTCCCCAAGTTTGCAATTGTTTGCATGTAGTCACTATTTCTTTACCCCCACAATGAGAAATAAAATAGCACAAAATTTATAAATAATTTAATTAAAATTAAACCAATCTTTAAATAATATTTCCTAAATAAAAGACCTTATATATGTTGGCTTTTGAGTTTCACATATATTTAAACAATAAATAATGATTTAAATAAATATTTTATATAAAAAAATTTACTTTTAAAATATTTTGTAAACTGTAACTAAAATTTATTAATAAAAACTATTTCTATTAATAAAAGTTATATATTTAACTTGATAAACTTTGATGAAAAAATTAATCCTTTAAAATTTTTTTAAAATATTTAACTTACAATATTCTTAAAATCTATACCCTTCCCTCCCTCCATGTGCAAACGTAATATATGAATCATCCCTAATATATATATATATATATATAAATTTATTTAATAATTTACACTTACTATACAGCGGTAAGTACGACACTTTTTAATGTTTTGAATGCCTGTCCATAATCGGTAAAAACAATGCCAATTATGCCGTTAGTTTGCCGCGAAAAGTCTAGTAGTTTAAAAAAAATTGTTTATTAATATAATTATTAACATTATATATATATTGATAATTTATTCAAGAATTTAGCTTGAACATATATTTTTCTGTAAACAATATTAAAAGTTTTTATTTTTATAATTTTTCAAAAACCTATATGAGTTTTAGGACGTCCGGCAAACTCTGTACTATTAAACACTTGATTAGCCAATTGTTGATTACAGACATAGACTATCGGTTTATTTCCCGTATATTTAGTGAATACGGGTCCGTATTTTTCAACCAATTGTCGGGCAATATCTTCGTGAAATAGTTTTGAACGCAAATCTAATATATAATAATTAAAAAAAATTATTACAATTTATTTATTAAATATAAACAATATATATAAAAAAATTTAAATAATAATAATAATGTATAAAACTATATTTATATATATATACATTGTACATTGCCAAAAAATGGTACTGGAAATGGACCGGGAGGCAAACGGTAGTAATAATAGTAAAATTTAGCTAGATAATAAACTAGGTATAATCCTAATAATTTTAATAATATTAGAAAGTAATCTAATATTATCGTCATTTTTACTTTTAAAAAAAAATATTCAATAATATTTTTGATACTAATTAAAAAATTTACTGTTTTTTTTAATTTTTTTATTACAAAAATATTTTTTCTAAAATATTTAACTTTAAGTTAAATATCATTTTATATACTTAATTGTATTTTTTCAAGTTTATCATATATTTGTTGCACAACTATATGTTTTTTAGAAAAAAAAATTCATGACAATATATTTTTTTTATTTATTACTATTACAACTATTTGACAATAAACTATTGTTAGGGCAAACTATTTATATACTTTCAACGTTTTATTTAATAAATATTTATGTTATATTTTTTGAGCTATATAAATAATATCGATAAATAAAAATATTGTCATTTTATTTGTATTTAAATATATATAATTAATATATACATATATATATATATTTGTTGCCTAGAAATAAATCATTAAATATATATTTTTTAAAACTAATTTTCTGGCAAAATTAAAATCAAAATTTATTTTTTATAAAATTCCCTCTATTGGAAATTTCCACAAAAAATTGCTATGTATGCACACTGTATGTACAACTATAAATCAGTGTTTTATTATTTTAAATATGTTAAATCTTTATGATAATGCAATTATTTTCTATAATATATTAATTAAATAATTAATTAACTAATTATTAATTAATTAATTAATTATTAATTAATTAATTAATTATTAATTAATTAATTAACTAATTATTAATTAATTAATTAATTAATTATTATTATACAGTATATACAGAATATATAGTACTAAAGGTTTATACAATTCAGTTAAATATTAAGGTCATCTTTAAACAAGAATTTTCTTATTTTATTTATATTCAAAAATATTTTTAAAAAATAAATAAATAATTATTATTTTGTAATTTATTTCAATATATAATGTAAATTGTATTTTAAGTTTAATTATTTTAAAAAATTAGCCGTATATTTAAAATTTTATATTTTACAATATTAAATAAATGCAATTTATTTATTTTTTTATATTGTAGAATAAATATTTGCAAATTCATTCCAACAATAATATAAATATTTTGTTTGTTTTGTATATATGTTTATTGTAAACATATTCTAAACCTGTAATGCTCTCAAAGCTTTATTATTAATTGGTCCCTGAAACGTTAATTATACAAAATATATAAAAACTAAACAAATAAAACAAATATAACATAACAAAATTTATTAGAGTAGAAAATTTTTTAATAAAACACATTTTAAACATGTTTTGAATATTAATAAAAACTGTCTCAGTACAAATAAAACCAAAACAATAGCAAACGCACCACAAACACATAGATTACACTTAATATATACATACAAAAATACATAATTTTATTATTGCTTTTGGTTTTTCTTGTATTGAGACAGTTTTAAATATAATGTGACAAAAAATAATTTAAAATTAAAAAATAAGATATATAATTATCATTAGCATAAAATACGTAATAAAGTAAAATTCAAAAATCTATCATGATAGCAAAATTGATCATTACAGTTTTAAACTATAATGTATTTATTAGTGTTCTTGTAGAAGACCAAGACGTGACGTGACAAGTCGGAAAAATTGAAAATTAAAAAATGGCCATGACCAGTGTACAAATTTTAGATTTATGGTATTATTTTTATAGATAATAAATATATTAATAATTAATAATATAAAATATTTTTAATTATTATTATCTGTAAAAATAATTTTATAATTATAAATTTTAATTAAATAATAAAATAAATATACAAATTAATTAAAAAAAATTAATAAATATAAAAATATTTTATTATAGAAGTAATTAGGTTATTTAAAATTAAATTAAAAATATATAAAAAATATGTAAATTGATTATATATACAAGATTAGCAAGTTCTTGCAAGACGTGACATGACAAGAAGGGATTTGGGACAAAAACGGCAACACTAGTATTTATTGTATTAATATATTAAATAAATAAAATTTTCTGTTTTTAAAAAAATATAAAATAATAAACACAAACAGTGACACATAAATATATATATAAATATATATCATAAATAAAACATTATTGATAAAAAAATACTTTTATTATGTGTTATAGTAATAAATATATTATTTTAAAAATATACATATATCAGGGTTAAGCAAGGTTTTGGATTTTAGGGGGGGGGGGTAGACCAGGGTAAAATTTACAAAATTCTTGAAAAATCTTGGGGGGATATTGGGTGTGGTAAGATTTTTATTGCATTTTTAAACGGAAATTTTTTCAATAATCCAAAATCAAGGGGGGGTTAAGAGAAAATTCCCTAAAAATTCCTTAAGTTCCCGAATATTCCCATGTAAATTTAATAAAATTCCCATAAATTCCCGTATAAAGTCCCAGGAAAATAGGTAAAATTTCCAAAAATATAAAAAAAAATTAAAAATTAATAAAAACTTAAATTTTATCAAAAAAATAAAATAATGTATTTAAGATTTAAAAATAGTTGATAAAAGCATTAATGATATACTTTGAGTTATTTTTAGTATTTTAATAATCTTAACTTTTAACATAATTAATTTTTTCAAATTATACGTAATGTTTAGTTTGTTATATATTTCTATTTTTTAAATGTTATTTTTATACAAATACTAAATGAATACTACTTATTTAACTCAATTTTCGTTAAAGTTTTAGTTATATTAAGTAAAACATTGAAAATATTTTTTAAATTTTAATTTAAAAATTATAATTAAAAAACTTATATTATAAGTATTTATTGTTTTATTAACTTCTTAAAGTATCTTAAACTTATATTTAAATTGTAATATGATTACTTTTTTTTAAACAAATAGGAAATTTTTAATTTTTTAGTTTATTTTAATTAAAATAATGTTATTTTTGATGTGTTTTAACGTTATTTTAACTAATTTTAATCAATAATTAGATTTTTATAAACATTAAAAACATAAAAACACTTACTAAAATAGTATCAACTAAAATTAAAATTTTAGGGGGGGGTCATTTCTCGTCGTTTTTAAGCGACAATTTTTCCAATTTGGTCAAAAAGTCTGGTGGGGGTAAAATCCCAATTTCTCGAATTTAGGTGGGGTATTTTGGTTTTACCCCCCTATCCCCCTTACTTAACCCTGACATATACAGTATATATTTCTATTTTTTAAATTTTTTTGTATAAACTTTATTTAATTGAATACATATTTAATTTAGTTAATTAAAATATTATTTTATGTTTTAATTGGATAAAATTTTCTCAATTTTACTAACAGGCGCTTCAAACATAACATAAAATACATAACTGACCAAAATTGACACCACTGACCATTGTATAAATGACATAATCTATAGGTTATTTTTTTAAAAAAAATCAATAAATAAATAAATAAATAATTAATTACTAAATTTTTGTTGTTGTTGTTACAAACCATTATTGTTATATTTGAATAAACTGATTGTTCAACACTATAGACAAACATATAGATAATAATCAAATGATAGAGATATGTCTGATAGGACAGTCTACTCAAAGGCACAAATACTGGCAACGATAGAAACCGATTGACCAGACCTCCCTGGCCAGTAGCACACGAATACAGCATATAGGACCACGACAGGGCCAGTAGTGTACGCTGTAGTGTACCGTATATAATGCTAGCAGGATTGTCATAACTGTAACCAATAGTCCACAGATAGGGTATAAAATATATGGTAATTGTTATACAAATAGATAGCGTCCATAGAATTTTGTTTAATAACTATTTTGTTTTGTTTTTTTTTAATTTTGTTATTGAAACCCCATTTATATATATAAAAATAATTATAAAATATAATTATATAAAATTAATAAATTTATAATTCATGTTTATATGAACAGTGGTTTTAAAAAAATATATGTAATAAAATAAATTAAATATAACAAACCGATTTAATTACTATTTTATGTTTAGTGTAAATATATGCCATTATAATACCCATATTGTATGAACCAAACCTAGTATAGGCTTGTCTATAGATTTTCATAACATATATATTGTCTCTAAAATAAAAAAAAATTATTATAAAGTAAAAAATAAATAAATAATTAGTATATAATAATAATAATATTAATATTATATATCATATAATTTTAATAAAAAAAACTAACTCATGTCCATAAATATCAATTGGTATTGAGTGATATTTGATTAAATAATAAGCGATAACAACCCAACTAATAATTATTGCCAACACATTCATTGCTAGACCTATATATTGTTTTCTGATTAATAAATTAATTATAAAAATTGTTATATAATTTATTAAAACATTAAGAATATATATATATATATTCGTGTGTATGTATGTGTGTGTATTTGTGTGTATGTGTGTATGTGTGTGTGTGTGTGTGTATGTGTGTGTGTGTGTGTGTGTGTGTGTGTGTGTGTGTGTGTGTATGAGAATTAAAACACAATTTTTAAATGTTTTTACCTAATTTGTTTGCAAGATAATAAAATTGTAAAAATTGGTGAAACTAAAAACAATTGCATATCAGCTGCCAAATACCAGGTATGAGTTACACACTAATATTTATCAATTAAATAAAATAAAATGTATTAAATATTTTTTAAATATATTGTAGAATATATAAGTTATTTATATATAAGTTTATACTGTATTTATATATTAATATTAATATAAATTAATTATTATTATCATACACCATCCATATAGAAATTATTAATATATAATAAATTTCTCCAAAAATATCGACGACAACTGATCACTTTATTAGTAACATATCGGTGCCATAGAGGAGCTCCGGTAGTCAGAAATAGTTCAGACAAAATTGAAACGCCAATCAATGCCAATACGGATGGCGTTAATCTTAAATAGCGATGAATTAGTTTTTTAAAAATATTATATTTTCTAATCGATTGACATTTTTGGATATTATTGATAGTACTATAGGCGCACAAAAATCCCGAAATCAGTAGAAACCCGTCCACACAAATCGATGTATTTATTATTAGTTGCATAAAAAATTTATGATTCAATGAATCGACATCATACATATTAACTTAAATAAAAAAAATTAACAAAAATTAACAAACAAGTTATAAACAAACAAAATAGTAAAAAAAAATTTATTAAAATCTATTCTATATATTACTATATAAAACTAGATATTATTATATATCATTTTTAAATCAAAAATCTAAAAATATTTTGAGATATCTTTGGGAACATATAGATAATGGCTAAAGTTGAATTTATTTTTATTATACTGAATCATTTGATATCCCACATAACTATAGTTAAGTTTATAGTGTAATATTTATTCATTTGATTTTATAAAAAAAAAATAATTTATATTAATACGAGATCATATAATTTTTATGCCATCAAAATTTGTTTCTTTCAATACTTTTTTTTAGTATTCTCACTGGTATTTATTACTTACCGTAAAATCATGTTTTATTTCCCATATGGAATTCAAAAAAAAAAAGAAAAATAGCATTTTCATATATTAATAAACTTGCATTTTTTACCAGCCCTGGTAATAATTAAGCACTAAATTATTATACAAAGTAAACGAAAACTATATTTTTTATTTTGGAGAAAACTCGCATTATTTGTCATGACTTTGACATTTCCATATGGGAAATAAAACACAATTTAGCGGTAGTTTTATTTTCAACTTAATTTTATGTTTGTTTTATACCTATTGGTAGAGTTGATGTAAAACTATCATAAGTATGAGCCATTATAACCATAAAGAGAGATATAACGCGAAAACCGTGAAAACAGTTTATACTGTTTTGTTGTTGTTGTTGACTACCAGTGCTTAATAATTGCCGGGTGTTTCTATAAACTGAACAGGCTAACAAACATTTAAACCATTTTGAATTATTACCTATAGATAGAAAAAAAACAATATATATAAAGATATACTGGGAATATATATATATATATATTATAAATTGTAGTAACAAAGTAAAAAAAATTTGTTAAAAAATATTATTAAAATTAATTAGTAGACTAAAAATGATGTTGATTTTAAATGTTTTGTTTTAAAAAAAATACTTATAATCAAATTAATTTAATTATATTTTTAATTTTAAAAAAATTATTAGTCGATATTTATTTTTAAAAATTTTTTTAAAAAAAAATTAGTATTAAATACTTACTTGTGAAACGTTTTTTGAGAACATCAACAATAGTTGCTATTATTATTATTAAACCAATTATTGAAAATACACATCTTTAAATTATATTTAAAAAAAAATAAATAATTAATTAAATTAATTTTAAAGCAAAATATTTTTAATAAAAATTTTATCATAAAAATATTTCTAACATAATAAATATGTGAAACCATTGAATTGAATAATTATCATCATTACTACAATATTCAATTGATAATGGTATACCAAATGTTATTGAAACTTGAAAATTATAAATAAATAATAATATATTAATTATTGATTGAAAAAAAATTAAATAAATATACTTAAAAAATAATTACATGATTTTAATATGTTGTCTAAATCTTGTTGATTGCAAACATTAGGTATACAAATACCAAGTGATGGTGTATTTGAGTCCTTTTTTTTAAAAAAATAGATATAATATATATATTTAATTTTTTTAATTTATAAAAAATATAGCAAAAATTAAAGTTATTTATAATTATTTTTAATTAATTAATTAATTTTTTCTTTAACTAACCGTCATATTGTCTACATTTATAAAATAGTTTTTCGGCATATTTAGTGTACAATATTGACCATTAAATTTTGATAATTGATTATCTAATATAATTTCGGCCTTTAAATCCAAACATTCACTGTATTGACCCATAAATTGATAGTTACCTCTCATAATACCGGTGCCGATGACTGCACTCGAATCGATTACTTAAATTAAAATTAAATTTTTATATAATTAAATGTTAAGTTAATAATAATAATAATTTTTTAATCAAAAATATTGATAACAACAACACCAATCAATAAAACCAAATAGTTTTTTGAAACTAATTTTCATTAATAAATCATAATAAATAATAATAATAATAATGAAAAAAAATTCATACATTTTATTAGTTCAATAGAGTTATGATTATTATTATCCAAATAGTTGGCCACTTGTTTGCATTGTTGACTTAAACTATTAGTTTTATTAAACTGTAAAAATAATTGTCGTATAATATCGTGATTTTTCCAAATTAATAAATTAATTTTATCGTTGCATTGAATTAATTGAAGATTAAATAAATTTAATATAAATACTATTAATACTATAAAATTAATAATTTTAATAAACATTTTTGAAAAAATAGTATATATAAAAAATTATAATTTCAAAATTTAAATAAATTATTATTAACAATAGTACTATTGTATATACAAGTAACAATATATTGTTTTATCTAATATTGTTAAAATAGCAAAAACTTAACTAGAAAAAATTAATAATTTTTTATAATTCAATTTTACTTATATACAGTATTTTATATTTAATAAACATTTGTATTTAATACTATAATAATACAATGTATTAATGACAAATAATTTTTTTTAAAATTACGTTTTCTGAAATCTGTTTGTGTGTGTATGTGTGTGTATGTGTGTGTGTATGTGTGTGTGTATGTGTGTGTATGTGTGTGTATGTGTGTGTATGTGTGTGTATGTGTGTATGTGTGTGTGTATGTGTGTATGTGTGTGTGTATGTGTGTGTATGTGTGTGTTTATGTATGTGAATGTGTGTGTATGTCCCATATAGATATAAAAATAATATTAATGAGATATAGATATTTATTAAAGACTAATAAATAAACGGATTATAGCTATTAAAGTTTCATTTTCTGAGCAATGCTTTCTAGCATTCTCAACTGGTTATATTTATATTCAAGGATCATTGAAGAAAATTCAATGTATTGTTTGAATTCAATGATATGACATATTATTAGAGGTGATTCACATATTACTTATGCACTTTTATAAACCCCTTACCTTATGTATGCTTGTATATAGTTTGCAATATAATAATATTTAAAATATTGTAATATAAGGACGGATACCCCTCCCATCCACCAGACATACAAACGTAATGTCTGAATCACCTCTTATTTTTTGAAAAATATTAAACATTTGATTAAATAGATTATTTTTATTAACTATTTTATAATACTGTATCTATATGATATGATATGATAGACTATATCTACCTTTATTTATTATTTATATTCATATCTACTATCATTATATTATCATATATACTGTACTATCATAATGTTATATTATTAACGATATTTTATTATTATTGGTACAGTATATATATATATATATATATATATATATGATATGATATATGAAACTACAGTAAATATATAATGTATATTACTTAATAATATAAATAAGTAAATAAGTATTTTATTTCAACAACAACAACAAATTAAAAAATATAAGGAATGGTAGGCAACTTAACAAAGATTTTTGTTTTTATTTAAAAATATTATTATTATTATTTAAACAACAACTCCTAGATTTTATTGATACGATTAGTTGACTTTTTTTTATGTTGTTATGATAGTCCACATAGAGTGGCGCCGCCATCGAGTGGTAGTATATAGCCGTTAACAACTGATCCGCTGTCCGAACACATAAAGGCTACGGTGTCGGCAATTTCGTGCGGTTCGCCGATACGTCTCATCGGATACAATTGACTGCACTCGTCAACGATAGTCGGATGTCCATCGACTCGCGGTGTCCGTACAGTTGACAAACTAATACAGATATCATATATATATATATCAGGGTTGCGAAAGGATTTCAGTGGGGGGGGGGGTTTAGGGTGTAATATGGCAAAAATCTCGAAAAGCTTGGGGATAGGGGGTAGGGAGATGATTGAAGGCTAGTATTATAGTAACTTATCTTATCAAAAAAAAAATTGTTAAATTGTGATTATTTTACAAACCAAATGAGTTACATATATACCGATACAATCTATTATCTATAGTTTATTGTCACTTACTTAACACTATTAACCCGAATGCCGTAGGGTTTCAGTTCAAGTGCCAGACATTTATTAAACATATCCATTGAATGTTTGACTAAACAATAGGCAACGGATGTCGGATCGGGTATCAGTGATAGACAACTGGATATGTTGACTACAGTTCCGCCGCCGCCGCCGCCACTGCCGCCGCTTTTTGCCAAATAAGGAACCGCCAAACGGGTCAACAATTGAACCGATCGTATATTTAGGGCCTCAAGTTTGTCGTAGACTTGCATATAATCTGAATCATCGAAACGAACGTACTGTTCAAAGCCGGCACAGTTGACCAATATATCTAAACGGCCATAGTTTTGGACAGTTGTCTCTACTAGTCTCAAACTGTCCGCTTCCACCGTCAAGTCGGCGACCACTTCTATCGGACGCAAACGATTGGGCGATACATCCGTACATTGTTTGGCCACTTTGGCCAATCGATCGGCTCGACGACCAGTGATCACAACAGTAGTACCCAATTGGGACAATCGGTGGGCAATTGCCGCACCAAATGCGTGAGTCGAACCAGTTATCAGAGCTACCCGTCCAGTAAAATCATAGACAGACAACATATTATCTAAAAAAATTATTTAAAAAAAATAATAATCAAAAAATAAAAATATTTTGCAATTATTTAAAAAAAAAATTATTTAACAGTTAAATACTATATAGTCTATTCAATATTCAATATTATTAAATATATTTTTTGTTATAACTACAGTATAATAATAATACATAGTATACATTAAATAATTTATGCAAAAAAATATTTAGAAAAATTATTGGTATGCCAAACAAGCATTATCATTGACATAAATATTTTTAAAAAAAACAAAATAGTCATTATAAAACACAAAAACAAAATTATTATTCAAAAAAATTAATAAGCAAAAAATTTTAACACAAATATTTCAATAACAACAAAAAAAACTATAGAAAAAATATATGACGAAAAAATAGGATAATTTAATTTTTTAAAGTAACATAAATTGAAAAAGAAACTATGAATTTTTCAAGTAAATTTCAATTAAATATTCTAAATATATTAATTATCTGCTTGATACTTTTTGGTTATCAAACAAATTTCAAACAAACTTATGGTGAAATTATATGCAAAGGGCCAACATTTACCTATAAAGGTATTAATAATAACAATAATTAAAATACTTAATAATATTATAATATTAATAATAATAATTAAAATACTTAATAATATTATAATATTAATAATAATAATTAAAATACTTAATAATATTATAATATTAATAATAATAATTAAAATACTTAATAATATTATAATATTAATAATAAATTTTTTTTTATTACAATTAATTTCAATAAAATATTACACAATAATAATAATAGTATTACTATATTTTTTTTAAAAACTAACTAATTATTTAAAAAAATAAATAAAATAAATAGATAGATATGAGTGGCCAATACTATTTCCCGGCTGTTCCGGTGATCGTCAATCGCCAATCAATATAGACAGCCGACTGGCCAACTGTGCGCCATTTAGTCTGGTACTGACCAACTATTTGCTGGCCTACAATCTGATTGCCAGAAACAATGGCGATCTGGCACAGTTGACTATCAATGATGATGATGATGATACTATAGGTTCTGCTGCTAACAATTTACCGTACATACAGACAAGCTATACGGGCGATACCCGATACCAGTTAAACAATATACAGTTTCATTGGGGCCAAAACGATGACCAAGGTAGCGAACATTGTATTGATGATAAGTTTGCAGCAGCTGAGGTATGTGTGTAATGTCCGCGTACTCGATAAGGGGCTGTTCACATATTACGTTTGTACTTTTTAAGAAATCTAGACCCCTCCCTCTCCTATGTTCGCAATTGTTCGCATGTAGTCATTTAAAAAAAATAAATTAAGTTAGCATGTCACTAACCGCTACTTCCCCCCTCCCCCACAACCACAAGAACTAAAATATTATCTAAATGCGAGCGTTCTTAAAGTCTCTACCCCTCCCCTCGTTCTAAAAAGTTTGCTTTGCCACCCCCACCCCTCAAGTGCAAACGTAATATGTGAACCACCCCTAATGGTATATATATATATATAATATATGTTAAATATTAGTATAATATTAGATTTTATTTTTATAAATAATTTATTTTCATGTTTAATATAATAGATAATATTTGTTCACAACAATCAAAACTATGATAATTTTGACGATGCACTAACCCATCGGGATGGCCTACTGGTCGTATCCACTATGCTTGACCTACAGGACAATGATAATTTGGATTTGCAACCGTTTATCGATGTATTGCCCTATATTGTCGAATTTAATACAACAGCACCCATTGATTCCGCGCATACCGTTCCCTTTTATTTGGGTAGACTGATGCCCCAGGACAAACAATCCATGTACCTGTACGAGGGTTGTATTAGTCATCCGCCCTGTCATCAAGCTGCTACTTGGTTTATATTTAGCAAACGCATCGGTATCAGTAGGGAACAGGTAGATTTTTTTTAATATACATATATATATATATACAGTATATGTTATGTTATACAATGATAACAAATAATATAGTAGTTATTTATCTGATTTTTTTAATACTATATATATTTATACTGTTTGTATATATGTGTGGATAGTTAAGCAAATTTCGTCAATTAAAATGGGAACCAATTGGCGACCAACAGAGCACCCGTATACTGGATAATCGGCGACCATTGCAGCCGATCAATGGACGTACGGTCTATAGATCCGATGCTTATGGATGCAAAAATTTTGTTGATAGCAATACAATACCTTTGAAAAAACATTGTAAATACTAATAAAATTAATTTATTATTATTATTATTTTATTGTTTTTTTTTTGATAGATACCTATCATCAGAGCCAACCGTGCAATAATTGGTATAAATGTGGACAACTATGTTGCCAACCGGGCTATTATTGTCAAAGCGATCTCAATGGCAGCCAATTTGATTGTATAAGTAGTTGTTAACTACTAGTTAACAGTATATATATATATAGATATATATGTTTTTTAATTATTGTTAATAATTTTACAACAACAAAAAAATAAAATAAATTTTATTGTATTTTTAATTTATTTATAATTATAAATGTAACAATAATTCAAATTAATCAACTTAATATATTATCTGAATAAATCAACATGCTTTTAAAAAATATATTGTATTAATTAATTATACAAGATAGTTTATTATTATTAGTAGTATTTAATAATAATAATAATATTAACTAATATTAATTAATGTTATGTTTTTTTGGTGTACAAAAACAAAAAGTTTGATAAAACTAGTATTACTGTAATTGTTGTCAAAAAAACTTTTCAGAACACACACACACACACACACACACACACAGACACACACACACACACACACACACACACAAACACACACAAACACACACACAAACACACACACATACACATGTTTTTTACAACTATTAAATCAAAGCCCGCTATATTTTATACTATATTTAAGGTTAAAATCTATATAATAATAATAATAATAATAATAATAACAAACATATTTCTAATTTGATTTATATTTCGAAAAAATAATAAATTTATTATTATTATTATTTTTGAAATAATTAATAAATAAATATTTTTAAATATAATTTTTTTACTATTAAAAAAAATAATAAAAATATATAAACATTTACCATTTTATTTATTCATTATAAAAAATATTTTTTTTTATTTAAATAATTTACTATAAAATCATTAAGATATTTGTGTGTCACAATATCATATAACTTATGTTAAAATTAAAAAATTTTTGATTTTTATGTATTTTATCATTTAAGCTGTTTACAATGAATTTGCAATTATATTGACATATATTTATTTTACATTAGAATAAATTAATAAAATCTCATTCATTAATATATTTTTTTATAAGTAATACTTATAATATATATATTAATATTTCTATGTTTTATAAAAAGTTTAAAAATTATATTAACATTATTACTGCATAACACTTGTTTGAAAAAAATTTATTATAACTGATTATAAAAATTTATTTTTTTAAATACTGTATTATTATATTATACTTTATAATAATAAACACAAATATACAGTATACTATAGTTGTTAATAAGTTATAACTTTAATTGTGTATTATAAAAAAAATTGATTAAGTTAAAAACAAAAAAAATGCTAATATTTTATATCAAAACTTTACTTTTTAATATATTATTATTATTATTATCATCATCATATTCATCATCATGTAATTTATATTAACTAATTTTTAATATTTTATTTATTTAAAAAAAATAAATAATTGTTAAATAAATAATATTTTTTTCTCCCCCGATATAGACTATCTCAATGCAATTGGACTGTCTCATCAAATTTTTAACATTCAACCTAATCTAAACATTTTCAATCAAGGTAAACTATAATAATAATAATTATTATTTTTAATTAATGATTTTTTTATATTTATTTTTAAATTTATATTTTATATATATCATATATAAATACTATAGAAACAAAATTGAGCATGCTAGATTGCGATAAATGGTATCAATGCGGACACATTTGTTGCGGTCAAAAATACTATTGTATGGCCGATAGAGACGGTAGTAATCAGCGTTGTATTGATCCCTGTCTATGATGTATACCAATCGGGTGATGACAGTAGTAGGTAGTAGTAGTAGTAGTAGTAGTAGTAGTAGTAGTAGTAGTAGTAGTAGTAGTAGTAGTAGTAGTAGTAGTAGTAGTAGTAGTAGTAGTAGTAGTAGTAGTAGTAGTAGTAGTAGTAGTAGTAGTAGTGCTGTTAGCAATTTGTTGAGCTAGTAGTCCGTACCGGTTGTCGGCATTGAAATAATAGATACTATTGTCTATAGATTTTTTTAAAAAAAATTATATAACCTATATTTTTGTTTTGTTTATTTTTTTCAATTTTGTATTATTAAATTAAATTATTATTATAATAATTAATAATAGTTTTTTCAACAACAACAAAAAAATTACGATAATATATTTTAAATCTTATAATCGTAACAATCTTATATATATATTTTAATATAATTTAATATAATAAAATAGTTAATAGTTTTATTTATTTTATGCATGATATACATTAATATCTAGGTTTGGAAAATTTCTAATTCAATGTTTATTTAATATTAAATTATAAATTTTTATTGAAATAGTTTATTACTTAGTGTTATTATTCTGACATTTATTAATTCTAATAATTTTAGTTATTTTTTACTTTAATAAATAATTTTTAATTAAATAATTAGTTTAAATAAAATATTCTCATTTATTTTAATTAGTTAGCAAATTATATTTTAGTAGTATAAATAATATTAGCAAAAAAAAGTTATTACAGAATTTTAAGGATTAACTAAATTTTAAATGAAATTTGTTTTTTTTAAATATAAAAGTTTATTTTTTAAAATAATAATACTTATAGTGTATAAACTGCTATCTATTAAATATTGATTATATTTATTAATTAACTTATTAAATAAATTTAAACAATTTTTTTAAAAATAAATAATATATTCTAAATTTATTTTAATTACTTAACAAATTTTATTTAAAATGTATAAATAATATTAATAAATATTTTTTACAGTTTCATATATAGAAATTTAATTTTTAATACAATATGATAATTTAAAATAAAATTTTCATAAAATTATATTTCAATTAAATTTATGTTGTGACATTTATTAATTATTAATTATATTAATAATTATTTATAATTAAAAAACTTTTGAATCAGTTTAGACTATCTACTTAATTCAATAAAATAGACTTATATTAGTTAAGATATTATTCATTAGTATAATATAGAAATTTTTAATAATTTTTTTTATATAAAAAAATCTATAATTAAAATAACATGAAAAATTATATAAACTAATTGCTACTAATTTTTTTTCATTGACGTCTATCGACATTAAGATACATGCGTTGCGGTGAATACGTAAAGTTACGTAACACTACTTTTGGCGGTACATCCGTACGATCTGACCGACTGAATCGGTACTGCCGGACAATCCGAGCCAATGTTACCTTCAGTATCATTAGGACAAACTGGTTGGCTATGCAATGACGGGGACCCATACCAAAGGGCAGGTATGTATTGGCCACCAGTTTGTGTCGGTTTTCCGGTAAAAACCTGTCGGCAACAAAACGTTCGGCATTTGAATAGTAGTCCTCACACTTGTGTATCGCGTGGAAAGTTATCTCAACTATTTCGCCCTTAAGGACAGTTATGCCGGTATCGCCTAACTGGTAGTCCTCTTTGGCCACACGACTCTCGCGTATGGCAGTCGTATGCAGTCTCAGTGTTTCAGATATGACGGCTGACATGAGCTCAAGATTGACAACTAAATCATAGTCCAGTTGGCCAGTAGTCTCGTTGACTGCAGTCATGACTTCCCTGTAGAGCCGTTCCTGTAATTCCTGATTCATTGCCAACTCATAGGTAGCCAGTGTTAGTATTGTCATATTGGGATCAATACCCGATACGGTCAGTACCCATGCGTTGGCCAATATTTCCTCCAGAGTCAAGTGATTGGACATTCCTATTGCGAAAAATAATAAAATTTATTATTACTTAAATACTCTCTCTTTCTCTCTCTCTCTCTCTCTCTCTCTCTCTCTCTCTCTCTCTCTCTCTCTCTCTCTCTCTCTCTCTCTCTCTCTCTCTCATACACACACACACAAACATATTAGCACACATATTAACACAAATATACACACACATACACACACATACACACACATACACACACATACACACACATACACACACATACACACACATACACACACATACACACACATACACACACATACACACACATACACACACATACACACACATACACACACATACACACACATACACACACATACACACACATACACACACATACACACACATACACACACATACACACACATACACACACATACACACACATACACACACATACGCACACATACGCACACATACACACACATACACACACATACACACACATACACACACATACACACACACGCACACATACACACACATACACACACATACACACACATACACACACATACACACACATACACACACATACATACACACACATACACACACATACACACACATACGCACACATACACACACATACACACACATACACACACATACACACACATACACACACATACACACACATACACACACATACGCACACATACACACACATACATACACACACATACACACACATACACACACATACACACACATACACACACATACACACACATACACACACATACACACACATACACACACATACACACACATACACACACATACACACACATACACACACATACACACACATACACACACATACACACACATACACACACATACACACACATACACACACATACACACACATACACACACATACACACACATACACACACATACACACACATACACACACATACACACACACATACACACACATACACACACATACACACACATACACACACATACACACACATACACACACATACACACACATACACACACATACACACACATACACACACATACACACACATACACACACATACACACACATACACACACATACACACACATACACACACATACACACACATACACACACATACACACACATACACACACATACACACACATACACACACATACACACACATACACACACATACACACACATACACACACATACACACACATACACACACACACACACACACACACATACACACACATACACACACATACACACACATACACACACATACACACACATACACACACATACACACACATACACACACATACACACACATACACACACATACACACACATACGCACACATACACACACATACACACACATACACACACATACACACACATACACACACATACACACACATACACACACATACACACACATACACACACATACACACACATACACACACATACACACACATACACACACATACACACACATACACTCACATACACACACATACACACACATACACACACATACACACACATACACACACATACACACACATACACACACATACACACACATACACACACATACACACACATACATACACACACATACACACACATACACACACATACGCACACATACACACACATACACACACATACACACACATACACACACATACACACACATACACACACATACACACACATACACACACATACACACACATACACACACATACACACACATACACACACATACACACACATACACACACATACACACACATACACACACATACACACACATACATACACAATATTGTAATATTTCAAAAATACTAAACCCTGTTCAAAAAGTTCAAACTCCGACATCTCTTTTAGCTCCCTTTCCATTGACTTATCCATCTTTGCTTTGACCAGTAAATCGACAAAATCATTGTCACTATTGTTGTCGGTATCTGTCGTGCGCTTCTCTCGTTCATTCAGTACATGTCTGGTCAGTGCAAACAAGTACTCGTTAGCCGAATCGGTCATAAAGTGTGTAATCGATAGAAGTTTTAGTGCCCAATCGGGTAGCATAACAAGTGCCAGATTACGCCACCAGTTCGGGTGCAACAGTGAACTAGTAGTTACAACAAACGGATGTTCAGGCTGTAGATGTGAGTTCAGGTTCATTGAGAAAACACTGGCCGCTATCGAGTCCATTACAAAATTGGCGTAAATAACTTTCATGTTGACCTCTTGGCCTCGGCCGGCATAACCGTCCAGTGCGGTCAACATATTGCCAATGCAGTGATCAATCTTAGGTAACAGTGCCTTCATTTTGCTGGCCGTAAACGCCGTACTCATTATAGATCGGATACGTTTCCATTGCTGATCCTGGGCTTCGTCAACATTTTTGCCGAGTATTGGATGACTTTTGGCCGAAACCAGCGGCGGATTCGATCGATTGGTAAATATATGCCAATCTTTGATACAGATTTGTTTGACCAGTTCCGGGTCGGCAATGGATAGTATAGGTTCGTTGCCATCAAAATAACTGTGTATTTTCAGTATATTATCATTTGAATTAATTTATTAGCATTTTTTTTTGTTTGTTAGCTATAACAACAACCCCCCCCCCATACCCAACCCATACCATACCCGTAAACTTTGCCAAACTGTCGCATCCAATCGACATCCATCTGCGATCGCGGACGCCATAGTAGTTGCAAATTATTACCGAAACCGATGACAGGTTTGGGACCTTTTATGCCTCGTTTGGTCCAAAAGTCAAACTCTTTTGTTAGATATCTATATATATATATATAAAATAAAAAAATAAATAATTATAATTTTTATTAACAAATTTACAAAAAATATAAATAAATAATGATTTACTTATAAATAATAGTCAAAAATATGCTAATTATTATAATACATATAGAATAAGCTAAAATAATATTCATTTTTATATAATTATATTAGTAGTTAACTTATAATAATAATTATTAAATAAAAAAAATAATAAAAAAATAGCTATTTGTCTGTAATTTTTAGTAAATCTAAAATATTTCTAATTGTAAAATATTATAAAACATTTCATTTTTATTAAAAAGGTTTTTATAAAAAAAAGATATATGTTTAATATTTTTTTATATAAAATATATTGTATATTTAAAAAAATGATACTACAGTATAATATAATGTACTAATTATATGAATAATTAAAAAAATAAAATTTGTTTGTCATTACTATTAACTAATACTAACACAAATATTTATTAGATATGTTTCTTAATATCTTAAAATTAATGAATTTTTTGAAAAAAATAATACAAAATACAAATTTATAATACATTTAGTATAACTTATAATAATTAGTTTAATAAGTATTTATTTATTAATTTAATGTATCAAAAAATATCAAATTGTATAGTTAAAGCTTTGTAAGGTATAGAAATTTATTTTATTTTTTAAAAATTAATGATTAATTTTTAAAAATTTTTTTTAGTTGTTTATACAATATTATTTACAATATTTAATATAAAAATATTTAAAACAATTATTACAGATTGAAAAATATTGTTTTGAAGGCTAGAGAGAGAGAGAGAGAGAGAGAGAGAGAGAGAGATTATTCATTGTAATAAAGGTCTAAGTTTTAGAAAAATAAAATATTTTCATATTTATATTATACTAAATTGAATTACTAAAATTTAATAAAAAAACAAATATATACAGATATGTAGATAATTATTCAATTATTCAAAAATACTATTTTATTATTTTATTTTTTATTTTTTATTGATAATTTAAAATCATATATTATATTATTATTGACAAAATAAATTAGATATTTATATATGTTTTTTATGAATAGATAGTTAATAGTTTTAATTAACAATAATAATATAAAAAATATTTTTAATAGGTTGTAATTATTAAATGTTAATAAAAATTTTATTTAATATATATTTATTAAGATTTAAGTATTTATATTAATATAATTAAAAGTACAGCTAATTTACATTATTGTTGATTATAACCAAATTGATAAAAATAACATCTAATTGATTTCCAAACGTTGCGTTTAAATAAAGATTGTTTAGCCTTATCGGACACATATATTCTACATACAGGTGCCGGCATACCATTGAAGCCAATGTTATCAAAGTTAGTACTATAAGCGCCCATATTTGCAAACATAAGCCATTCGCCGACAAACATCTCAACCAGAGGACAGTTATCTCGAATACAGTCTTGACTACAACATGTCGGTCCCCATAGTATACTGTTATAGGACTCCCTTTCTGTTATGATATCCGATGATAACAGTGGTATCGGTTCATAAACTTTACGAATATATATTGAATCTTTAAACGATCCGTAAGCGCCGTCATTCAGTGTATACATAATATGTGGCCAATTATTTTGGTCATCACTAGCCTCGCGTCGGGACAACACACGGGTCAGTACAGTGAAAGCAGTTTCACAAAAGTATGTGCCCGGTTCAGCCATAACAGTCAGATTGTCATACCAGTGCCCATTATCATTATTATCAGCAAAATGTTTATCAATAGCTATATTGATAACATTAGCCATCTGTTCAAAAGTTATCTCATTGTTGTCCAAACTATGACTCCATAGACCAGGAAATCCACCGCCAATGTCCAGCACTGACATCTTATAGCCCAGAGCTTCGGCCATATCAAACACTTGCCGGGCTCTGGCTATTGCCAGGTCATAGGCGTCAGCACTTTGTGCACCACTGCCCACATGAAAGGCCACACCGATAACAAACAAACCCATTTGTTTTGCAGCCGACAACAGATTAAGCGCATCAGTCATAGAGCAACCAAACTTGCGATTCAATCGGACCTTTGAGTCGGTGTCGTCCACTTTGATGCGCACCAGTAGTCTGGCTTCCGGATGTCTGGTCTGTATTTTCTTAAGCTCTTCCAAACAATCAAATGTCATGAAATCAATGTCTTCATTGCGTGAATAATCAAGCGATGCATTAGTTTTGCAAGTGTTTGCAAATATGATTGACTCGGGTTTGGCACCCAATTCAAGTACTGTTTCAATTTCGTGCTATTAGTTTAAGTAATATACATATTAATAGTTAAATTGACTTATTTTTTAATTAAACATATCAATTAAACAATAAAAAGTAAAAATTCAATAATATTAAGTTTATATTAATTTTAGTATTAAAATAATGATCTATACCTGACTGGCACAATCAAACCCGACTCCCAGTTTATTGAGTACTTTAAGCAGCGGTAGACTGGGATTAGCTTTGACGGCATAATAGGGACTAATTCTGGGCATTAGTCGACACCATTGACTATACTTTTCGATGACATCCTCGACATTGAATATACTGTACGGCAGTTCACTATTGTTTAAATCGATATAATTTTTAATAAACTCAATGATCTGATTCATAATTATATGATAATAATTATTGTTTTTAATATTTTCAAATCTAATATTATTTTGTTTAAGTTGACTTATATAAACTTATTAAAGTTATAATCTTATTAAAACTTAATACAAGCATTTATATATATTACATAAATATTATGTTAATCAAGATATTAAACCATTAAAAAAATGGTACATTATACATTTATAAAATATTAAATAAATTATCATAGATTAAATTTTCATAATCTACATCATCATCAATTACTAATTAATCATTTATTTTATTACAATTTTGTTGTTGTTGTTGTTGTTTTATATTTAATAGATGTTTGTTAAAACATGTGATAATCCAGTGTCAAGATAGTTGTGTATTGATTGGGGGGTGGGGTGGGGTGGAGGGAGGAGAGCGATAGAGGGTAAAGTTATCTTACTCAAAACTAAAAGATACTATTTATATTAAGATTTTACTTTTTAGATTTTATTTTAAAAAAATCTAAAATTAAGTAATGTAAGTTTACTTATTTTTTAAAAAAAATAATAATAATATAATTTTGCCCGTCTACAAAATATAGAAATTTTAAAATATTGAAAATATGACTATTATTTTCTATACCTATACTTCACACTCAGTACCCTTTTCCTACCCTCCCATCCCCTCCCAGCAACGCATCCCTTAGACACATACTCACACATACGCGCGCACACACACACACACACACAGACAGTAAAAAAATTGCTTAATATGAATATATTAGTTAAAAAATATTTAATAATTAAGTAATTTGTTAGAAAATGATATTGTATAATTTTTGTTTTTTTCCATTAATTAATTTTTTTATTGTTTAAACTAGTTTTTAACAGTATTTCATAAAATACTTTTTAAAAGTTTAATAACAAAATTAATTAATTAATTAATTATCATTGTCTCCATAATAATTTATACAATAACAGTTGGCAAATAATTTAGCAAATAAAATATTATATGAAAAAAATGCTAATTGTTTTTTGTTGTTGTTGTTGTTGTTGTTATTGCAATTGGAAAAAAATTTAGAAATTATTTTCAGTATAATAATGTTAATTAAATTTATAATTAATTCATTGCATATATAATTACTAACCAATACAGCAATTAGTCAGTTAAGATACAAACTATATATTATTCAACAAATAATTTTTTTTTTTTAAATAAAATATTAATTTTTTAATGAAATAATAATTTATCCCAATAGTTAATTTTGATAAAATATTAATTTTTTATTAGTATTTGACAATCACAGTAATTTTTATGTAATTTTATAATTTAGTAATACATATATATTTTTTAAATACCAGAAATTATATTATTTAACCCAAACTAAAAATTTTTCATATTATTATTATTATCTAGGTGCATTTATTTAGAGGTTAAATTTGCTTTAAATTGATAGTCGATATATGACAACACAATATTTTAGTTTTATTTATTAATTTTTATCAATTTTTCTTGTTGCTATACTATCAATTAAAATATTATCAATAATTTTTTTTTAATTTTATTTTTCCTCTCAATCGTCGGCTAACAAAATATATACTTAATATTTAATTTATATAATAATAATTATACTGTATATATAAAGTTATATACTGTCTTTATGGTTAATAATAGTTAAACAGTAACAGTAAAGGTTTTTGTAAGTTATAATCAAACAAACACTTAAAAATAATTAAAACAAAACAAAAATTAATAAACATTTTATAATATAATTACTTTATTTGATTTTTAAATATTAGTTAGCAATCTTATTGTTATTATTATTACTACAACAACAACAACAACAACTACTACTACTACTACTACTACTACTACTACTACTACTACTACTACTACTACTACTACTACTACTACTACTACTACTACTACTACTACTACTACTACTACTACTACTACATCATATATATTATATATATATAAAAGTATATACTAAACAATTATCACCAAAAAAAAATACTACTAATTTAAACTATTCATTATTATTGCTATTTTCAAATTGTATGGCTCTATCAATAAACAGCTGAAATAGACACAAATAATTGGCAAACATTACACTTAGGTTAACATCATTATTGCTATCATCAAAGTCCTTGACAATGGTTTTCTCAATTTCATCGAAAACCTGGTCCTTGTATTTCAATAATTCTGTTTTCAAATTCAAATCTCTATACAATTGTTTAATTTGTTGGACAGAGTCATCCATATTATCATTACTACTACTACTACTAGTAATTGTTGTATTTTTTTGTCCATAATTTTCTAATAGTACTCTACGTTGTTGTGTATTAGCCAATTGCATTGCCCTAACAAATAACCATGTACATTTACCATCAATTATAGTTGATTCGGGTTTAAAATAATGTTCGTAATCATTGAAAAAGCCATCCAAAATGGCCAGTTTGGTCAGGGATTGTTCAATTTGATCATGGTCATTATCTAGATTAGTTTTGCCACTTGCATATATTGCTAAAATTAATAATAATAATAATAATATAAAAACTCATTAGCTTATTAATTTTTTAAATCAAAAAAATATTTTTTTATAAAATACTATTTATTAATACAAACTTAAATAATTTGTGATTTTTTTATTATTACACTATTACAGTAATTGTAATACAAAAAACTACAATACTAATAAATAAACACAAACAAAACTTACCAAGCTGAAACTGTCCTAATACAACAAAATAAGCATGCTTATATTTTGTATTAATAGTTAACTGTTCAATAGTATAACTATTTAAATCAATATCAGATTTATATGATTTAGTAAACTGTAAATCTAGTAATTGTCCATAGGCAACATTTCCTATAATCTAAGTAAATATATTATAAATAAATAAATTTTTAATTAATTTATTATTATTTTTTTAAAAAACTTATTAAATAATAAATAATTATATGCATCATTAAAAACCTTTTGAATGTATTCAATAATATCAACATAATTGGGTTGATTACGGAAATACAGTTTAATTATAGTATTGATAGCAGTCATCAATATTGTACTGTCATTTAGGGCAGTCATACCAACACCGGGCTAATAATAATAATAATAAAAATAAGTATAAACTATAATAAAATTATATAAAGTAGCTATTGATAAAAAAAATGTTATACCAATGTATGCCAACATTGTTTATCACCAGCCAATTGATTGTCATCCATAATATCATCGAGTAGTACAATATAGTAGGCCATGAATACATGTGCCCATCCAAGTGCATAGATTCTGGTATCACTGTCCTCCTCCTCATCATTATTACTATCATTGTTTGTTTTATAGACATTATTTATTAAACGATAGTTTAATATAGTAATTATCGAGAATATATAGGCATCAGATTTATTATTCAAATGTTCAAACATTTTCCTAATCAATGGTTTCAATTGATCTCTGATATCATCGTTTAGTGAATTGTCTAACACTTGTTGAACAATAGTGTCAAACATGGCCTCAAATTTAGGCATATCTTTAAGTAATACTGATTGCAATATATCTGGTTTATAGCTAATATTTTATAGATATAAAACAATAAAAAATACATAGTTTTTAGTAATAGTAGTTTTTAATATTAAATAAATACTATAAGTAAATCAATAAAAAATATACATAAGATAAATAACAATATAAATTGTTAATTTTTATTTAATTTTTTATTTATTATGTATATATATGTGTGTGTTTGAGTAACTTACCCACAAAAATTTCTTGTAATTTTGTTAAAATTTTCAATAGTTAAGTACGACATTTTAAGTTTGATAAAAATTTAAGTTTTTTTCTAAAAAAAATTATTAATATGTATTATAAATTTTTATAACATAAAATAATATACTGTAGTTATAATAATGTGTTTATTGTTATAAAAAAAAGAGCTAAACTTTTAACAAAATAAAACTAAATTCTTATATAAAATCTTAATATAATGTTAAATAAAAAAATGTTTAAAACTAAATGACTATAATTTATTTTATTTTCTATGATTTAGCAAATTTTTTTTCAATAACAACAAAAAAAATATACGGATACTTTTTTATTTGTTTCAATACAGTATTATGTATTTTACAGTTAATAAATAATTTAAATAAATAAATTTTTATTATATATTTCTAAATCAAAAAAATTCAATAAAAATAAGTATACATTTATAAACTCTAAAATTTTTTTTAGAAAATATATTAAAAAAATAACTGTATGATTGTTATTGATATTTAAAAATAAATAAATAATAATTTACAAAAACAAATTTGTAGTTTTTAATAAATAGATATTTTATTTTTATGAATTTATATACAACAGTAATTAATATACATATGAGTTATTTTGCCACAATTTTTAGGCTTTTATATAATGTATATATATTACAAATAAATTATTTAAAAAATACAAAAAATTAAGTTTTAATTTATTTTTTAAAAAATTTACAGAAATTATTTTTTTAAAAATATTTCCATTCATTGTAATCAAAGACTAATTTATAATAAATAAATAAAATATTTTCATAATTGAATTACTAAACAAAAAAATATTAACAAATATATAGATAATTATTTAATAACATTATTATTTTATAGTATTTTTTAAAATTGTTTTATTTATTTATTTTTTGTTAATTAAAAATTATGATTAATAAAATAAATCAATAAATTTAATTAATTTGCTTTTATAATATTATTTATTTATGAATAGATAAATAGATGTACAATTAACATTGATACAAAAAATTTATGTTGTAGTTTTATATAATATTAAATGTTTAAATAATTTTCATTTAGATTTAATGATGTTTATATTTAATATAATAAAATAAAATAGTTAACTAATATTATTGTCCATAAGATCTAATTAATAGCCAAACATTTAGTTAAAAATTGTTTGGCCTTATAGGACACATAGATGATACATACAGGTGCCGGCATACCATTAAAACCAATGTTATCAAAGTTAGTACTATAAGCGCCCATATTTGCAAACATAAGCCATTCGCCGACAAACATCTCAACCAGAGGACAGTTATCTCGAATACAGTCCTGACTACAACATGTCGGTCCCCATAGTATACTGTTATAGGACTGTCGTTTGGCTATGATATCCGATGTTAACAGTGGTATCGGTTCATAAACTTTATGTATATATATTGAATCTCTGAACGATCCGTAGGCGCCGTCATTGAGTGTATACATAATATGTGACCAATTATTTTGGTCATCACTAACCTCACGTCGGGACAACACACGGGTCAGTACAGTGAAAGCAGTTTCGCAAAAGTATGTGCCCGGTTCAGCCATAACAGTCAGATTGTCATACCAGTGCCCATTATCATCTATAGTAGCAAAATGTTTATCAATAGCTGTATTGACAACCTTAGCCATCTGTTCAAATGTTATCTCATTGTTGTCCAAACAATGACTCCATAAACCAGAAAATCCACCGCCAATGTCCAGTACTGACATCTTATAGCCCAGAGCTTCGGCCATATCAAACACTTGCCGAGCTCTGGCAATTGCGTCGTCATATGCGCAGGGATTTTGTGCACCACTGCCCACATGAAAGGCCACACCAATAATAGTCAAACCCATTTGTTTTGCCGCCGACAACAGTTTAAACGCGTCAATGATTGAAACACCAAATTTACGATTCAATCGGACCTTTGAGTCGGTGTCGTCCACTTTGATGCGCACCAGTAGTCTGGCTTCCGGGTGTCTGATCTGTATTTTCTTAAGCTCTTCCAGACAGTCAAATGTCATGAGATCAATGTCTTCATCGCGTGAATAATCAAGCGATGCATTTGTTTTGCAAGTGTTTGCAAATATGATTGACTCGGATTTGGCACCCAATTCCAGCACTGTTTCAATTTCATGCTATTAGTTTCAATAATATACAAATTAATAGTTTAATTAACTTATTTTTAAATAAATATTACAATTAGTTCTAGTAATCATTCAATATAAAGTGTATTTTTAGTATTAAGATAATGATCTATACCTGACTGGCACAATCAAACCCGACTCCCAGTTTATTGAGCACTTTGAGTAACGGTAGGTATGGGTTAGCTTTGACGGCATAATAGGGACTAATTCTGGGCATTAGTCGACACCATTGACTATACTTTTCGATGACATCCTCGACATTGAATATACTGTACGGCAGTTCACTATTGTTTAAATCGATATTATTTTCAATAAATTTAATGATTTCATTCATAATTATATAATAATAATTATTATTTATTTATTCTATATCTATAGTTAATAAATATAATGATATTATAAAAATGTACTGGATTACAATTATTACAATTATTTTTATAGATAAAAATATTAAAATTATATTCATCATCATCATTTACGTAGATCATAATTTTTTTAAAAAATATTTTTTTATTATACTTATGTACTCTGATTGTTAAGATTTGTAGGTTCAGTCGGGTTAGGGGTGTTAGGGGGGTTAAAGGGGTAGAGATAAAGTTATCTTACTAAATCTAGAAACCAAGATACTTTTTAGAATTTTTTCTAAAATTAAATAAAGTGGACTAATTTTTTTAGTTAAATGTCGCCTTTTTATGAAAAATTAAAAAACTAAAAAAAATATACGCAAATTGATTTTATTTAACAAAAAAAATAATTTAACTTATTTCTCTGAAATTATTAAGAGAAAAAATAAGTAAATATTATTTTAATAGTATTTTTATTTTTAAAAATTATATGTAACTTAATAAATAAAAAATAAAAATAACTATTTGTTGAATTAAATAAGTTTTTTTTGACAAAAAAAATTTCTAATAATACTAATAATTATTATTTTAAAATTAATTCTATGTTTTTAAGATTCTATAAGATTAAAAAAAAATATTATATTATTATATATATATTTTTATTATATATTTTTTTATTTAAATTTTTTTAAACACTTTAACCCCCCTCCCCTGCCTACCCCCAGCCTACACCACAAATCCCTTAGTCTCAATAAACATTAAACTTACTTAACCCCCCATTGAATTGAATATATAGTTAAAAATAATAAACAATAAGTGCGTAGAGTAATTGCGTGTTTAATTTTTTTTACTAACTTATCATTGTGATTTATAATAATTTATTAAATTTAAAATTATTTTATTTTCTTAAAATTTGAAAATATTGCTAATTTAATGTACATGTTTATTAAAGTAAATTGAAGCAATTAACTAGTTAGGTTTGATAAAAAAATTATCATACAAAGGTTAAGAAAAAAATATGTTTACAATAATAATAGGATTATTATTATTATTATTATTATCTAGCACATTTTTTAAATAAAAATAAAAATAATTAAATAATCATTTTTTACTTTTAAGTGAAACTTGCTTTTATATTGATGTCATAGTTTTTTTTATATCAGTTTCAATCAAAAGTATTATATCTAATTTTTCAGTTAATATTAGTAATATTATAAACAATTTTTTTGTTATATAACAAAATAAAAAATACAGTATATATTCATATATGATATACACTATATATATTAATTAATAATATATGTACAGTATTACAATTATTGCGACCTCTATTATAATTAATTTATTTATCAATATAAAATAATAAATATTTAATAGTTAGTGATATTAAATGTTTTTTTTTAGATTTGATTTTAGTTTTGCAAATTATTATTATAAATAAAATAATATTTTCAATTCAAAACTTTAATATTAATATTTCTATCTTTAATAATATTAGTTTCAAATTAACAATTAACAACAAACATAAACATAATATTTTTTTATAAATTTTAATTTATTTTAATTACTTAACAATTTTAATTTTAGTAGCATAAATTATATTAACCAACTTTATAATGCAATATTTATTTAATATATTTTATTGAAAAAATATTACTTATAATCGTATAAAACTGACATCAAGTAAATAATAATTATTAATATTTATTAGTTAACTATTTAATAAATTTAAACTATTTAATTAGTTTAAATAACTTATTATTTTCATTTATTTTAATGTTTATATTATAAAAAATAACTGTTTTTGCTTGTTATTGATATAACTTTTTATAAGTTATATTTTAGATTGATTTTTAATTTTAATATAAAAAAATAGTTTTTAGTTTTATAAAAAAAACTGTACTATTAAAATATAAAAATTTGTCATTGATACAATTAATTAGTTATTAATTAAAAACTTAATAATCATAAAAAATAATAGGCAATACTGAAATATTATAGTTTATTAATTAAAAAAAAATAATAATAAACAAACAAACAATTTCAATGATATTTCAACAAAAATATAAATAAAAATTTTTGTTACAAAACAAAAACTATAACAACAACAAAAAAGTTAGAAAATATTTGATAATAAAATTTGTTGTTTTTAATTAAAACTAAACAATTAAATACTCAATTAAATTAAACATACAAAACCCTGGTTAAATAACTTTGGAAAATATATATATACAGTATAGTAAATAAATTATAAAATAGTACCCGGACTATATTTATAATACGACTGTCCAGTACCGTAACATTTGGCGTTACACTGGCCACCGGTTAGTCGCCACGATTCAAACAGCGGTATCATTTCGGTCATACTTGTCGACAGGCAATCGGTTGGCTCCCGTGGCCTATAAATTGCCCAACCATGGACCAATGTACCAGCACATGGACCACCACTGGGTATATAAGCAACTTCATGGTGATATCTATCACCTTATTATTGATTTTTTTGTGTATATAAGTATAAAAAATAGTAAAATTATTATTATTATTATTTTATTTATATAAAGTTATATAATTTATGTAATTATTATTTTGTGAAACTATTTATTTTCTTTATTTTTTTATATATAAATATAGTATTATACCATCAATGCTGACCATAACATCAATATAGTTGGCAAGTGTTAAATTATAGGCTAATGATTGATTACTAGTGTAGGCCAGTAGTTTGAACTCCTGTTCCCTTAAGACATAGATGCCATTACAGGTAACATTTTCAACTGCCTGTCCTCTAAGTTCAATACGTGTAATGTCCAGTCCATTGATATTATTATTATTATTACTATCGCTATGACATTGAAATATATTAGCAAATGACATGTTTGCTAAACGAAATGGTGTTATCTCTATATATATATATAATATAATATATATTATACAATATATTAATATAGTTATTTATAAACAACATTTAAATATACCTATATATATATATAATATAAACTTTAATTACCTAAATCGTAGAAATTGTATGAATTACCTAGATGTAATTTTTTTATATATATATAAAAATTAAATATATACATATTATAATACCAAAAAATAAATAAATAAACAGTTATTATTATTTTTTGAAAATTAAAATATTATAAATATTTACCTAGATTATAATCTGATGATACAGTATCACAATTAATATAGAAATTTGTAATGTAGATTAGATTAATTAATAGATTAACTAGATGAATTATTAATGTTAACTTGATTATAGACGCCATATTAGCTAAAGTATATTATTATTATTATTATTATTATTATTATTATTATTATTATTATTATACTAATGTATACTTAAAATAAAATTATATGTATTTTAAATAATATTTATAAGTATACTAATGTAATAATGAATATATATATATTTTTAAATAAAATAAAAATATTTTTTAATGCAACGTAATATTAAAATATTTCATTGATATAAAGCTATTATTATTTATTTATTTATTTTTTGAAAAACAATTGTAAATATGAGCTAAATTTTAATTTATATTTGTGTCACAATTTTATCTTATTGTAATTTTTTGCTTATTAAATAAAATACTAAAAAATTTAATATTTATTTTTTAGTCATACTTTATTTTCCATATATTATAAGTAAATATTTTATTATATTTTAGACATAAATACAATCGAATAAATTATTTTTTTTAAACATAGATTTTAATAATAATTACTTAAACTTAAAATAAACTTAAAATCATAATTATATTTAATATATATATTTATTTACAAAATAATTTTTATAACAATTAATTAAAATGATTCAATAAATATCTGTTACAAATTATTGATTATTGATAAATAAATTTTTGCTTAAATAATTATACTGTATTATAAATATTAAATTTTAAAAAATATTTATGATAATAATATTATAAAATAATTTTACATTATTATTATAATAATAAAATTTATTGCTATTATAATATTAACTAAATAAAATTTATTTTATCAATTACTATATGGATATATTAAAAATTATACAAACAAATATATAATATATATATATAATAGTATTACTAATTATTTAAAAAAAATACAAACTATTTTTAAAATTTTTTTTTAAATATATATACAGTCGATGACAAAATTGGTGATCAAGTTTTTTTTAAAAAAAAAAGTATAACTCAATAAATAAAACAAATTAAAAAATAATAGAAAATTTATATATATAATTTGTAATTATTTTTTTTTGTTTGTTAATTTCTATAGAAATATTATTTACTAATTTTTGTTGTTGTTGTTCAACTGATTCATATTATTCAACTTGATATCAATAGGCCGGCTATACAGGCGGTCATAAAACACGATATAGAGCCGGCAATCATAGCCCTGAGCGCCAGATCGGCCAAATCGGGTTTACGGTCGGGTGCCATTGAACCCAATGCACCCAACATTATACCGATTGAACCGAAATTTGAAAAACCGCACAACGCATAGGTGGCCACTATTTGGGCTCTTTTCTAGGGTTTTTTTTTAAAAAATTATTATTAAAAAAAATATATTATAATAAGACAATAAATAAAAAAAAAAGTAATACATTATTAGTATTAATTCAAAAATATTTTCATTATATATATATACTATTATATATATGTGAATATACTGTATTATTAATTATATTACTGTTATTATTAAATATTTATAAGTAAAAATTAGTATCATAGATATATATATAAAGTTATATATTGATATATTACAATAGCACATATTAGTAATATTAACTAAATAAATATAATATAATATAATGTGATTAAATAAAATAATTATGATATTATAAATAGATGTAATTATCAATTATAACTAATATTATTTATAAAAATTATTCATAAAATTTTTTTTAAGAATTTAATTATTATGTAATTAATTTTAATGTTAAAAACAAATTAAATTGTTACGAAAAAAAACTAACTGATAATTCATTGGCTTTAATCATGACTGACAGCTCCTGATAGGCAACAAACTCGTTGATTACGGTTTTCAAACCGATTAGTTTGGCCACTCTATCGCATTCGTGCCATTCAATGCCCATCAATAGGGCAAACGGTATAAATATTTTTGATAATATTAACTATATTTAAAAAATATATATTTAAAAATTATTAAAAATAATAATTAATATTAAAAATATTTTGTTAGTAATTATTATAATTATTACAAACTTTAAAATTTAGTTCCGGATAGTCGACTAATGAGCCGAACCATGAAATTAATACATCAAGAAATTGTATGAATGCTAGAAATGCAATCAAATTGGCCACTATATTGGCTATTAATCTATTGAAAAATAAAAAAAAAATTAAAAAATTAATTTAAACTGAAATTTAATTTATAGATTTTTAAAAAAAAATAATGTATAGATAAATATAAAAAATTATTAATAGAATAATTAATTTTTTTTTGAATATAATAATATTTTAATAACATTACTACATATTTTTAAATAGATATATTGTATTTAAATATATATTGATTATTAAATATTTTCAAATTATGATATATATATATATATATTTATTTTTTAAAAACTTACTTAATAGCAGCACCGGCACCGTTAGATCCAGCTTCCAGTGCATTGCGCTCAGTGCTAAAAAACAAACAAATTATATATACCATAAAAATTTGTTTTTTTTAAATAATTATTTTTTTCTGTTATCCAAACCTCTGTCCGACCGAAATAGTTTTGTTGGTAGTCTTGCTTTTCTCGGTCTCCGGATAGATAAGCTTCGAATAGGCCAGAGCTGCCGGTGCCGACATAACACTGGCGGATAGCAGATGACTGGCCGATACGCCAAAGTTTATGTAGGCAGCCATTACTGAACCGGCTATTGTGGCAAAACCGCCGGTCATTACGGCATGCAATTCCGATTTGGTCATTACCGGTAGGTATGGTTTAATCATTAGCGGTGCCTCTGTCTATGTGTATGTGTGTGTGTGTGTGTGTGTGTGTKTGTGTGTGTATGTGTGTGTATGTGTGTGTATGTGTGTGTATGTGTGTGTATGTGTGTGTATGTGTGTGTATGTGTGTGTATGTGTGTGTATGTGTGTGTGTGTGTGTGTGTGTGTGTGTGTGTGTGTGTGTATGTGTGTGTGTGTGTGTGTGTGTGTGTGTATGTATGTGTATGTATGTATGTATGTGTGTGTATGTATGTATGTGTGTGTGTGTGTGTGTGTGTGTGTGTATGTGTAAAAAAGGAAATGTATTTTATTTTTAATGGGCACCAGTACTTATTCATATACATGTATATATATAGTTAAAAAATGTAGAGTAGATTATGTACAAAAAAAAACTTGCATACCATTCCCAGAAATATATTTCCCGATGCGTTCAACGACTCGCAAGCAGTGGTACCTATGGTTGACTCCAATAGCCAACCAATTTTAACGACAAGTATTTGCATTATACCGTAGTAGAAGAGTATGGATACGAAAAAACTGAAAAATATGACCACTGGCATCACCTAAATATATACCGGTATATATAATTAGTTCAACAAAAAAACAAACTACCAGTGCATATACCGGTTACGTACTGTACATATATATTATAGAAACTTACTTTAAAGGCAAACACGGCTGCCTGTATGGGCAACGAACCGGTAATACTGGTACCACCGGCATCGGCCAGCGTAACATTACCGTCCAGATGGCCAGTGACCAGATAGCCGAATACAAAACTACTGCCCGCATCGGTAAACTCGAGAAATGCCGATACTTTGTCGCCCATACACTGGAATACTTGTTTGCCAAACTCCCACCTGAGTATCATTAGGCCAAACAGGAACTGCATGTATATACCCCATAGTAGTTGACGCCACTGGACGTGCGATCGATGTTTCTATAAGCGCATTGGTTAAGGTAGGGGAGGGGAGATGGAAGGGTAGCCGATTAATAGTGAGTAAGAGAGACAGAGAGACAGAGAGACAGAGAGACAGAGAGACAGAGAGACAGAGAGACAGAGAGACAGAGAGACAGAGAGAGAGAGAGAGACAGAGAGAGAGAGAGACAGAGAGACAGAGAGACAGAGAGACAGAGAGACAGAGAGACAGAGAGACAGAGAGAGACAGAGAGACAGAGAGACAGAGAGACAGAGAGACAGAGAGACAGAGAGACAGAGAGACAGAGAGACAGAGAGACAGAGAGACAGAGAGACAGAGAGACAGAGAGACAGAGAGACAGAGAGACAGAGAGACAGAGAGACAGAGAGACAGAGAGACAGAGAGACAGAGAGACAGAGAGACAGAGAGACAGAGAGACAGAGAGACAGAGAGACAGAGAGACAGAGAGACAGAGAGACAGAGAGACAGAGAGACAGATTCCGTACCGAAAACATGTAACCAATTAATATGTAGGCCAACAGTCCGCCGCCTGAGGCCAGTCTCAATGGTTCGGTACTTAACGAATCCCATACGATAAATACGAGTGCACCTGCAATGGCCACTGACCACACAATTTTCGATGCATGCCTAACCAGTAGGCACGTACCGCGTGTTTTCGCTATGGGACGTATAATGTGCCGATAGACCGGTCTGACTACCAGTCTTTTCAGTACTGTATAGTACAGACCAATCAAATAGGCTATACTAGTCAATACTACCAGTAGTTTAACTCCATAACAATAGGCACCGGCCGTACAGTTGGCACAATCGATCTGGAAATTAAATTCAAAAAAATATAAATTAAAATAAAATATGTAAATCATTGTTATGATAAAAAATATATATATATTATCTAGTACATTTTTAATATATATATATATTTAATTTAAATTATTATTACCTGTTTATTCCATGTTAAATATATGGCAAATATCATATAGACATTGTAGGCCAACAATAGTAACAATAGTAACCATTTTTTATATTTTTTAATTGTTTCGCACAATTGTCGCACAAATTCATTATTAAATACTTTATCAATATTATTAGTATTTGTATTATTACTGCTATTTTCAAGTTTATAGTTATTATTATTATTGTTATTATTGTTATTATTATTATTATTATTATTATTATTATTATTATTATTATTATTATTATTATTATTATTTTTATTATTATTATTATCATAAATTTCACTAGACTTTACATCAATTGTTATGCAATCATTCAATTTGGACAATGATTTTGATGATAAATCAAATTGTGTTTCCTGTTATAGTAATAGTAATAATAATAATATAATAATAATAAATATTTTTATTAGGCATTAAAAAAGTTATTATAATATTTTTTTTAAAAATAGGTATTAAATATTGTTTTTTTATTGTTCAAATTTATTTGATAACTATTTTAATTATTATTATTATTAGTAGTAGTAGTAGCTATCATATGACTTTAAATATCTAAAAAAATAAATTTAAATATTAACATTACTTACTAAATCATCTGATGTAGTTTGAAATGTTGGATTAATAAATGCTCCAGGTACTTCCTTATTATTATTATTATTATTATTATTATTATTATTATGTACTACACTAATATTATTATCACTTATATTAACACTAATTACATTATTATTGTTGTTATTATTATTAATGACATCAGTAATATCATTATTATCATTATTTAAATTAATTATTGTTTTATTATTATTGGTTTCCATAGTTAATATATTGTTTAATTACATTTAATACACATTTTGGTAATTTAATTATAAAACTGGTTTAATTGTGTAGTAAATTTATTTAATACAATTATAATATTTAGTTAGCTATAATGGCATCTATTAATTAATTAATTAATTAAAATTAAAAATCTGTTATAAATAATTGAATCAAAAATAATTAAAATTATATAGAATTAAAAATATAAATAATAATAATAATAACAAATTTAATCTATGAATTAAATTAAAAATAACTTACCTCTAAAAAAATTATTAGATTATTATTCATTTATAAAATATTATTATTATATAAATGTTTTATAAAATTTAGAAAATATGACACAATTAGAAAAATCATACAATAATAATATTAACTTTTTTTGATATATTTTTTTTGTTGAAAAAGCAATATTATTTGTGCAATATAATGAATAAATTAAATAAATACTATATATATATATTGAATAAATATATAGTTTATAAAATTGAATAGAAATTTTCAATGAAAATCAACAAAAAATATTTATATTTTATATATTAAAAAAAACTATTCACAAAAATTTCTCACAATTATTTAGTTTGTTTAGATATACAGTATTTTAATATATATTTCAACACATAATAGAAAACATATAAAATTTTTTATAATATATGATATTTTCTATTAAGTAATAAACTTATTGAATGAATGATTTTTTTTGAACAAAATATTATATTATTTTTTTTTATTTTTTACTTTTAAACTATTATATATTTTGTCACATATTGCTATAACTATTATATAATATATATTACTTATTAAGTTATTATTATTATTATTATTATGTTATTATGAGTTGACAAATAATGTATAATAATAATAATAATTTTGAACTAGTTTTTTACAATTTAATATCTCTCAATATAAATAAAATAAAACAATTTTGATATAAGTTTTACTTTTAGGGCATTAATTAAAAGTTATTATTATTATTTTGTTCATTAATATTGTCGGTAAAATAAGCATATAATAAATGTTTTCAATTATATTGTTTTATATAAAAAAAAATTATATAATTTTTTATTTTATTTTATCATTTATTATTATTCTATGCATTTCAGGTTATAATACTATAAATATTATATATATATATATATATATAAATGAAATTAATTTTAATTGAAATACATAAGAATTTTATTATCTTATATATGATACTAAAATTCTTATGTATTTCAATTAAAATTTAATTTTATTATATATGATAACTAAAAATAAATTACATAACTCTCTATATTTTTTTTAAATGTTATCAATATTATAAATTTTTTTAAAAATACAAATTATATCATTTTAGTAAACAATAAAGTAATTGTTAATTTTGCAAAAATAAATAAATAAAATATATAATTTTTTTTTAAATTACCCATTCAATAAATGTAATTAATCTATAGATGATTTGTTTGAATTAATACAATTTTTTAGTAAAAACACACACAAAACATATTTTTTTAAAAATACATTTATATTTTATACTAATTCTCATACATAGTATATACAGAGATATATATATACTATTTAATTATTATTATATGACTAATAAATAAAACAATTAATAAATATTTATTATTATTATCATTTTATATATTTAATCACAGATCAAATTAATTTTTGTGACATTTAATATATTTTTGTAATATATATATATATATATTGTAATATTATATATAAATTTGAATCTATAAATATAAGGTATTAAGTTAACATTGCAATCTAATTATAACATTAGTTTATTTGCATAAATTTAAGTTTTTGAATAAAAATAATAAATTAAATATTTATTTATAATACTGTAATAATAATAACAACAATTTACATTATATATAATTTTATTATAAATTATTAAGGTCATTTTATCTATTATATATAATTATTAGAGTACAGTATAATGTAATTATAATAATATTATGATTTCTTTTTATTTTATTACAAATTGTATTATTAAAATGTAGTAGTAGTTTATCAACTGGTTTTTAATGATTTTTTTTCATATAAAGTTATAAACATTTACAGTATATACTGTTTGTACAGTATATATATATATATATATTATATATATTATACATACAGTATTATGATACTGTAATAATAATAATATTTATAAAAATAAATAAATTTAAATATTAATACAATGAATGTACCTAAAAAGCAATTAGTAGTAGTAGTAGTTATACATAAACTAATGTCTATTAATATTAAATATATTTATTTTATATGTAAATTAATAATAAAAAATATGTTTTTAATAAAATTTGATTTTTAAATAATTAAAAAATATAATTAAAAAAACATTATTGTAATATTTATTTTTTTGTTGATTTATTTACTACTGTAATGTACAGTTAATTATTTATACAGGGTGAATAATAATTGCTAATGATAAAAATATTTTTTTTAAAAATATTTAACTATAAGATATGTATTAATAGTAAATATTGAATATTTATAGTAACTTTATAGTTATAGTAATTATCAAGATAAATATTTATACACATATATTAAATGATAATACAGTATAATGTAGTTATTGCTACAAATTATAAATTAAACAGTTTTGAAGTGTATGTTCAATGTCATCCATGTATTTAATATATATATAATTTATTATATTTAAAGTTTAATGTCAATAATAAAAAACACATAGTTATTATTATTATTATTAGTAATATTATTAATATTAGTAATATTATTATTATTATTAGTAATATTATTATTATTATTAGTAATATTATTATTATTATTAGTAATATTATTATTATTATTACTAATATTATTATTATTATTATTAGTAATATTATTATTATTATTATTAGAAATATTATTATTATTAATGTGATATTATTTTTTTTTAAAAATTATTGTTTGTTTTTTTGTATAAAAATATATATCCAACAGATATGTCTACAATTACATACAATTTCCTGGGAAAGGTAGCTCTCGTAACCGGTTCGAGTTCGGGTATCGGTGCGGCCACCGCTCAACTGTTTGCCAAATCGGGTGCCAATGTTGTTGTCACCGGACGTAATGCCGACGGTTTGGCCAAAGTTGCCAAACAGTGTACCGATGTGTCACCGAAACAGTTGACTGCACTGGAAGTTGTCGGCGATCTGACTAATAAAGAGGATTGCGATCGACTTATTGAGACAACTGTCCAAAAGTTTGGCAAATTAGATATACTGGTCAACAATGCCGGTCTATCGTCAATGGCCAAAATTACCGACGATGACTATATGGAAAAGTATATGCATGTTATGTCTGCTAATCTGAATTCAGTGGTTTATATGACCCATAAATGTGTCCCGTATTTGGCCAAAACACGGGGCAATGTTATCAATATATCCAGTATTGCCGGTATGATACCAGTAAGTACTGGTATATACTGTATATACTATACATTATGTTATTAGACTACTAATAATAATAACTACAGTTTATTTATTTTTATTTTATTTTTTTTTCAATTAATAGTTTAGACAATCTATGTCTGCCTATTGTATGTCCAAAGCGGCAGTGGATATGTTTACCAAATGTATGGCCGCAGAGTTGGGACCCAAACATCATATCAGAGTTAATTCAGTCAAGTAATGAAACTATAAAAAAAACAAACATTTTTTTAAAAATATATAATAATAATACTTTTATTTACTGATATATTCAATACATATACTTTAACACCACACACACACCCGGATAGTCCCGGTATGACACACACCAGTATTGTCCAGCGTATGGCCGGTCTATCCAAAGAAAAAGATGACGTCTATTGGCAACAATATACTAAACTATATCCGATTGGCCGATGCGGTAGTCCCGAGGATATTGCCAATGCTGTCTGTTATTTGGCCAATGATGCGGCCGCCGGTTTTATTACGGGTACCTGTTTGCTGGCCGATGGTGGCCATATTGCAGCTAATGTTAATCTGGATAGTAAAAAGTAATAATAATAATAATTAATATTATTATTATATATTATTTAAAATATTTTTTGTTGTTTAAATAAATAATTTTTAATACCATAATTATTTTATTTATTTTTTTGTTTTAATTTTTTAATTTATAAAATACATTAATAAATTGCATTTAATTTATAGTTTTTATTAATTTACTTAAAATATATATTGTTTGATATATAATTTATTTAGTATTCAATTCAATACTATTTAAATACAGTATAAGTATTTTTTATTTAATTAATACAAATATTTTTTATTACTAATAATTTACCGGTAAGTACAGTATATAAAATTTATTATTTTAAAATCAAATATCATATATTTATATCATATATGTATTATATAACAATAAAAAATATTACATTATATATTATTAATAATTATAAATAAATATTAATGTTAAAATACACTCAATTTAAATGATAATATACTGTATATTTAAACTTTAATGTCAATAATTACAACAACAAAAAACTTTATGATGATTATTATTATAAGTATTAAATTGTAATTGTTATTAATATTTTTTTAAATAAATATTAATTTATTATAATTAGAAGTTTTATTTAACTTAAAAAAATACTATTATTAATATTGTATTTATTTATTTTTATTAAACTGCCAACAAATATGTCTATTACATACAATACAATTACAATACATATACAATTGCATCATAAAAACATGTTAATAATAATTTGTTTAATACATTAAATTGTATTTAATTAATTTTTTTATATAATTGTTAGAAATTTATAAATTATTAAAAAAAGTAAACAATATTTTTTTTAATATTATAATTTGACGCAAATATTTCAATTTCTAATAAAAATATTCAACATTATAATAGATATACTTAATAGATATAACTTAATATAAATTATTCAGCAATTTATTATTACTTTAATATAGAAATTTATTTTTATTATAATATACAATATAATGTATTCATGAAATTTAAATTCTTTAGATTATTTGTAAAAATAATTTTAAATATACAATAAATATATTGTTTTTCATATTAAATATTTTTTAAATAAATATTTTTTAACCAGAAATAGTAAAATATTTATTTTCAAAATATATTAATTTTTAAATATAACTATTTAAATATGAGTTTTCAATTTGATTTCACCGGAAAGGTAGCCCTGATTACTGGTTCGAGTTCGGGTATCGGTGCCGGCATTGCTCAACTGTTTGCCAAATCGGGTGCCAATGTTGTAGTTACCGGTCGTAATGCCGACGGTGTGGCTAAAGTAGCCAAACAGTGTACAGATGTGTCACCGAAACAGTTGACTGCACTGGAAGTTGTCGGCGATATAACAAAACAAGAGGACTGCGATCGACTTATTGAGACAACTGTCCAAACGTTTGGCAAATTAGATATACTGGTCAACAATGCAGGTCTAGCTATAACGGCCAACATTACCGACGATGACTATATGGAAAAGTATATGCATGTTATAGCTGTTGATCTGAATTCATTGGTTTATATGACACACAAATGTGTCCCATATTTAGCCAAAACTCGGGGCAATATTATCAATATATCCAGTATTGCCGCTAAAATACAAGTAAGTATATAATATGTATAATATATACAGTATATAGAGTACTATATAATATTGTTAATTATTAGACTAATGATAACTACTGTTTATTTTATTTATTTATTTAATTTTTTTTAAATAAATAGTTTATACAATCATTGTCTGCCTATCATATGTCCAAAGCAGCACTGGATATGTTTACCAAATGTATGGCCGCAGAGTTGGGACCCAAACATCATATCAGAGTTAATACAGTCAAGTAATGAAACTAAAAAAATTTTTTTTGTGTATATCTTTTATATTTATCTATTTATACATTTATATTACTGTATATTCAATCCCTGTCCGACTTAACACACCGGCGGATAGTCCCGGTATGACACAGACCAATATTGTCCAGCGTATGGCCGGTATATCCAAACAACAAGATGACGCCTATTGGCAACAATTTCAAAAGCTATATCCGGTTGGCCGATGCGGTACACCCGAGGACATTGCCAATGCTGTTTGTTTTATGGCCAGCGATGAGGCGGCCGGTTTTATTACGGGTACCTGTTTGCTGGCCGATGGTGGCCATCTGGCTTCAAATGTTTATATGGATAATTTCTAAATTATTAAAATATATAAATTAAAAAATATTTTTTTTAAAAATACATTATAATTTTACATAAATATTTTATTTGATAAATTAATGAAAAATATTTAACAATTTAATATATACAGTAACATACAAACAAACAAAAATACTGTATATTACTCAGCAATTTATTATTATAATATACTGTAATAAAACATTAATTATTTTTTTGTAAAAAAATTACAATATATTGTATGTAAAATAAAAATTATTTGTAAAAATAATTTTAAATACAGTAAAAACATTTACTTTTTAATATTATAACTTTATATATATATTTTTTTGTTAATAATTTTAATTTTTAACAGAAATATTAGTCTATTTATTTATTTTTAAATATTTATTTTAAAATATTAATTTTAAATATAACTATTATAATATGAGTTGTCAATTTGATTTTACCGAAAAAGTAGTCTTGATTACCGGTTCGAGTTCGGGTATCGGTGAGGCCATTGCTCAACTGTTTGCCAAATCGGGTGCCAATGTTGTAATCACTGGACGTAATGCCGACGGTGTGGCCAAAGTAGCCAAACAGTGTACAAATGTATCACCGAAACAGTTGACTGCACTGGAAGTGGTCGGCGATCTGACTAACGACGAGGATTGCGATCGACTGATTGATACGACTGTCCAAACGTTTGGCAAATTAGATATATTGGTCAACAATGCCGGCTCTGGTATTCCCATAGCATTTACTGACAGTGATTATTATGAAAAATTTATAGACGTAATGAATATTAATCTAAATTCATTGGTTTATATGACACACAAATGTATCCCATATTTGGCCAAAACTCGGGGCAATGTTATCAATATTTCAAGTGTTTCATCTAAGATAACAGTTAAATCAAAAAAAAAACTTTTTTATATAAATATACCATTTTATAACATATATATTAAATTATAATATTTTATTTGTTTTATTATACTTTTTTATTATTATTTATATATATATATATTTAGGGTTTTAATGAATCGCCTTATAATATATCTAAAGCCGCGGTCAATATGTTTACCAAATGTATGGCCGCAGAGTTGGGACCCAAACATCATATCAGAGTCAATGCAATACTGTATTTAGATATTTATTTTTAATTAACAGATCAAACAAACAATTAATTAATTAATTAATTAATACTTTATCTATGTTTCAATAGTCCCGGTGAGGTTCGCAGTAATTTCAATATCAATTACGGAGCCAGCGATGAACAAAATGACCAGTTTTACGAAGCAGTGGCCGCTAAATACCCGGTCGGCAGATCGGGCGAAGCCGTAGACATTGCCAACGCTTGTGCCTATCTGGCCAACAATGATGCGGCCGGTTTTATAACCGGTACTTGTTTGGTGGCCGACGGCGGACATCTTGCGGCCAACATTGATACCGGCGCTGATATTAATACAGTAATTACACAATAATAATAATAATAATCAAAAAATCAATGATTTTTTTTGTATTTAAATATTGATTTAGTTATAGATTGTTATTATATACAATATACAGTATCTTTATATATGATATATATTATAATTAATATTTAGTTTCGAAATTATTAACGTAATTCAATGTTTATTAATATTTTATTTATTTTTTTAAATAAAAGACATATAATAATTATATTATCAATTGAATTGCAAAATAAAAGTTCAATAATTTTTAGAAAATTTTTGGTAATTTTTTTAAATAACCAGTGAATTGATATAAAAGAAATATTTTATAAATAAATAATTATTTTATTAATTATTTTTATTAATAAATCTCAGATTAATAGTTTTGTTTTTATTATACTGTATAAAAAGTAGTTATTTTTATTAATATATTACATAAAATTATTTTTCTAATTGTTTTAATAAATATTAATAAATTTATAGTAAATATTAATTATTAAAGTATATTAATTTTAATTAAAACACACAAATCAATGAGAGAATTAAATATTTGAATAGTAATTTATTTATTTACATTATTTTATTTTAATATAAACATATAATAAACATTTAATACATTATCAATATTATTAATAAAACTTAATTATTTAAATAAAACGTTGTTTAAGTAATTTTCATTATTTTTTGTAATAATTATTATCAATAGTGTTTAAACCGGTTTTTAACAATTTATATCATCAATACAGTGTGTGTGTGTGTGTGTATGTATGTATGTGTATGTATGTATGTGTGTATGTGTGTGTATGTGTGTGTATGTGTGTGTATGTGTGTGTATGTGTGTGTATGTGTGTGTATGTGTGTGTGTGTGTGTGTGTGTGTGTGTGTGTGTGTGTGTGTGTGTGTGTGTGTGTGTGTGTGTATGTGTGTGTATGTGTGTGTGTGTGTGTGTGTGTGTGTGTGTGTGTGTGAGAGAGAGAGAGAGAGAGAGAGAGAGAGAGAACTAATAATAATGGTCAGCTAATACAGTATATCTATTATTTATAGTTAAGCGCACTTTTATTTGATTAACTGGACTAACAAACCAAACACTTAAAATAAATTATAATAAATATATGATGATTTCAAAGTGCATTTTGATTGACTACCTATTTGTTGTATAAAAATTGGCTATAAATTGCTTAAACTTAGAGAAACAAAAATTATAAAATACATATTTTTAGTTAGCTTATAAACTATAAATTAAATTTTCAAAAAAAATAAATAAAATAAATAAATAATTGTTTATCATAAAATGAATAGTCAATTGAGCTTGATCATTCTACTAACAATTACTACCATAACATGCTATAATATTGTAACAGCTAGACGAGCACCTTATTGGGGTGGCAATGAATTTGGGTTAATTAATTAATTAATTTTTAAAAAAATAATTATTTAATTAATTAATTTTATAATTTAATTTTAGTTCACTTGGCTACTGGAATCCTCCATTGTCACCTGGTCATCGTTACCCTGGTGGTAGGATTAATCGTTTAAGATATTTTAATAGACCATGCAGGTTAGTTAATGAAAAAAAAAATTATTAATTATTTTTTTTTTAGAAAAAATTATAATAATATTATATTTTAAATCTATTTTTTTAAAAACAGGTGTTACTGATATTAATTAGTGATTTTGGTTTACAAGTTAGCAAGTTAAAAAAAATCATAATTTATTTAAACAAGTTTTATTTTTATTATTTTCAATAATTTTTATATGTAAATATTAAATTATATTATTTATATAATTAAATAAGACAATTTCAATTGTATTGAACACTAAATAAAATAAAATATCGTACAATTAAATAAATTATATTAAATTTTTAAAAAATACATTAATTTGTTTAAAAAACATTAATTTGTTTAAAAAAAACATTAATTTGTTTTAAAAATCTATTATTAAAATAATAAAACACAGAAAAATATTATCTAATATTTTTATAAATATTTTTATTTATTCAATAATTTTCTTAAATATGATTTTCAAAATTTTCTATTTTTTATTTAACATATAATGTTTCGCAATAAACAAATTAAGTACTAAACAAGTACTTAATTATAAAATTAATATAAAAACAAACTTATTTTTTATTGTTAAAACTAATTTTTCATATCAATAGGATCAATGCTCTTGTCGTTTATATACATATATATTATTAAAATAAAACTAATAAAAAATTTTGTTATTATTTTTGTCTAATGTAAAGGATATGAGATATATATCAAACAAACAAACAAACAAAAAATTTCAAAACTAAAAAAAGATTTCCCAATAAAATGTCGGGTCCGGGAAGTCATCATTGAGCATAATTGCTATTGAAATATATTTTTTTAATTTATTTGTTGTTGTTGTTGTAAAATATGAAAATTAATGATAAGATTAGTATAAATTTTTTTTTTTGAAAAAATCGTATATTTTAAAAAATTAATGTTCAAAAAATTACGGTTAAATTCTTTGCTAATTAGTAATAACTATTTGAAAAATACGTAATATAAATGTCCAAAAAATAAATTGCAATATATTAAATTAAATTATAATATTATATGCAATCATAAATATTAATTTCTATTGTTTTTTTATAAAAAAAAATTAATTATATACAATTAACAGATAATTATATTAATATATATTTTTTTATTTAACTAACAAATTTTGTTTGTTTGTTATATGTTATAATATTAACAGATTTTATTTTTTTGTCGATATTTTAATTAAACAATAATTGTGTTTTTTCAAACTTCAATGTTATACTGTATTTACTAAATAATGTAAATATATTTATTAAAGCAAAAAACAAGTTATTAGAAACAAATATCTATTATATTAGTAATAATATTAATGTTAATATACAGCAAAAAATTCACAACAAAAAAACACATTTAAAATAAGTGGCCTTCAATTTGCATAAAAAATAGATTTATCAAAAATAAATATCTATATTATTATTATGGCATACAATACAACAACAATAAAAAATCTAGTTTTTTTCTACTAATATATTTATCAATAATAATAATAATAAATGCAAGTGAAATGTGTTGTGAGGGGAGGCAGTAGAGAGAGAGAGAGAGAGAGAGAGAGAGAGAGAGAGAGAGAGAGAGAGAGAGAGAGAGAGAGAGAGAGAGAGAGAGAGAGAGCACCGGTTGACAGAGAAAATCACATACAAAAAAAATCATGAATTTCTGTCAATAACTTTATTAGTTATACATATAATATATACTGTATGTCATAATAATACAAAATAATAAGTTTAGTATTATTTAAATATAATTTTGTTGTTAAATTTGTTTTGTGTGTGTATGTATGTATGTGTGTGTGTGTGTGTGTGTGTGTGTGTGTGTGTGTGTGTGTGTGTGTGTGTGTGTGTGTGTGTGTGTGTGTGTGTGTGTGTGTGTGTGTGTGTGTGTGTGTGTGTGTGTGTGTGTGTGTGTGTGTGTGTGTGTGTGTGTGTGTGTGTGTGTGTGTGTGTGTGTGTGTGTGTGTGTGTGTGTGTGTGTGTGTGTGTGTGTGTGTGTGTGTGTGTGTGTGTGTGTGTGTGTGTGTGTGTGTGTGTGTGTGTGTGTGTGTGTGTGTGTGTGTGTGTGTGTGTGTGTGTGTGTGTGTGTGTGTGTGTGTGTGTGTGTGTGTGTGTGTGTGTGTGTGTGTGTGTGTGTGTGTGTGTGTGTGTGTGTGTGTGTGTGTGTGTGTGTGTGTGTGTGTGTGTGTGTGTGTGTGTGTGTGTGTGTGTGTGTGTGTGTGTGTGTGTGTGTGTGTGTGTGTGTGTGTGTGTGTGTGTGTGTGTGTGTGTGTGTTATGCACTGGTATTATCCTCTATCCCTACAGTGTGTGTGTCAAACTCACACTCCCTCCCCCTCCCTAATAATTTTTATTTATTAAAAAAAATTGATACAATCCATCAAATAGTAGTAGACATAGTCATCCTCATCACGTAGTCTACACAGTACATCCCGTCAATGTCATACACACACACACACACACACACACACACACACACACACACACACACTAGTGAACTACTGTAGCTATGCTCCGGGAGATTTTTTGTTTAACATCAAAAATAGTGGGTATATAAGTCCAGTGAAAATTTTTTAACAGACATTAGATTTTATTTATTTGATTGTTATTAACAAACAAACAAAAATAATACCTCAAAAAATGAATACAAAATTGTTTGCCTTATTTGCCATTTGTTTGGTGATGGCTATGGTTGCCCTACCCATGGCCAGTGCCCAGTTCGGTATGTATAGATTTTTTTAAATGTTGTTTTCGGTTAGAAAATAATAGATAATTATTATTAATTAGCTTTTTCATTAATTAAAAAATATTATTAATTTATTTTTACCCACAAAAAAACAGGTTATGGACGAGGATTTGGCGGCGGTTACGGTAGAGGTTTTGGCGGCGGTTACGGACGCGGGTTTGGTGGCGGTTATGGTCGCGGATTTGGCGGCGGTTATGGTCGCGGTTTTGGCGGCGGCTACGGACGCGGAGGTTTCTACGGTTAGACACAACAAACAAATTTTTTTTTATTTAAAAAAACAGATTTGGATGAAAACACCTGGATCATTTAATTTTATTTTTAAAAAATAAATTAATTTTATGTTATAATAAATATATATTATATATATATATAATTACAGTATTATTATTATTATTATTTTATTATTATTATTATTATTATTAACTTTTGTAATGTTTTCACGCATTTTATATATTTAAAATAAAATTTTTAGTGTTGTTGAAATTTTTAGAAAATTTTGTTGTTTTTATTAATTAATAATAATAATAATTATTATTTATTTATTTTTATTTTTTGTTATAGTTATTACTATTGTAATAATGATTAATCAATAAAGTATTTAATTATCTAAATATAAAACTTAAATTTTGTATTAACGTAAATATGTGACTATTTATTAATATTATAAAATATAACTTTATCTAAATTTTACTGTTTATTTTAAAAAAATATGATTATTATAAAATAATTTTGTTTTCTATTTTTTAAATTATTGTATATTACTATTAATTATATTAATATTTAGTTTTATTATTATTAAACTATTGTTTTACTGATTTTGTTGTAGTATTAAATACTAGTTTATTGTCTTTTAAATTAATACACAAAACTATTAAGCAAACAATTAACAAAAACAAAACAAAACAATTGATCATGGTATATTATACAAAACTATTTTAATTTATAATTTTAGTTTATTTTAGTTTAATAACAGAAACCAAATCGATTTCTTTTAATAAATCCAAACTCACATAAAATAATTATAATAATAATAAAACCCATTTATCCAAACCGTTTGCATACATCTATTATATTATACAGTAGTAGTATATTATAATTTAAACTGTAATATATGTTATGTTTGCAATGACCCCCCCCCCCAAATAAAGTGTTTTAAGTTAATTAAAGTTTAAACAGTAAATGCTAGTTAGTGCTATACACAGACAAGTAAATTAATAGCCTAAAGGGAGTAATAACCAGGGTTTTAAAAATGGCAGGATAAACAATAGATGCCTATTTTGCCAAATGCCTGCCCTGGGCATCTATTTTCAGCTGGTGACACCTATTATTTTAATTTTATATTATTAATTTATTTATAAAACAACATTGATTTATCGATATATATATATTTGTTTGTATTTTTGTTTTGTTTTTTTAATAACTTTAATTAAAAGGTATTAATATTATTGGAAATAAGTATATTAATTGTAAATTTTAATTAACAAGCTAAAAAATTAGTAAATTTATTATTAAATTAAATATTTATTTGGGCATCTATTTTGGGCATTGCCATGGCAGGCATTTATTTACTTAAAAACCCTGGAAACAACTTATGTTAAATGTTTTACAATACATGTGATTGAAGTATTGGATGCATTAAAATGATGTTATATTAACTGTCAATTGAATTATCAAATGTATTACACAATACATAACACAAACACAACAACAATAACAACACGTGTTATGCAATAATTGACTCACAATTTATGTCCAATAGTTTAATAACAATCACAACAACAACAACAACAACAACAACACGTGTTGGCCATCACTTACCAGTTGGTCACCATTGACGCCATGGATCGCTTGCCATCAGCCGATGATATACCGTCCATACGGCCGCTAATGGCCAACGGCTCTAACGATAGTCGCCGCCACCAATCGATACGATTGTTAAGCATTTTCGGCAATCAAGCGTCGGAAGTGATATTCGCTACCGTCGAGGACAAAGTCTACGGTTTTGGTCACAACAGGTACGGACTACTGGGACTGTCGACCGACGAAGCAGATATCCGTAGGCCACGGCTTAACACGACTCTCAGTGGCCAACAAGTGGTCAACATTTACTGGTCGTACGATTCGTGTTTTGCTCGTACACTGACTGACCAATGGTACGGCTGGGGACTCAATATGTACGGCTCGCTGGGCGTACGTACGCCAACACAGTGGTCAACGAAACCGTTACTGATTGAAGAACTATCAACGATAGCCGTAGCGGACATATCGTGCGGCGGCAATCATACGCTGGTATTGGACACCGACGGTCGAGTGTACGGCTGGGGACACAACAAATTCGGCCAATTGGGCGACCAATCATTTAACAATGTTTTTGCACCGAAATTCATTTGCGACAGCGATTTCCAATCGTTGAGTTGCGGTATCAATCATTCGGCTGCACTGACCACTCGGGGCCAGGTCTACGCCTGGGGTATCAACGAAAAAGGACAACTGGGCTGTCATCCCGATGGTGAACGTCAATCGGCCCACAAATACTCGGTACGCAATGAACCGCGACCCGTACGCGGACTGCCCGACAATTGCCGACAGGCCATTTGCGGTCCCGACTATACAATGGCATTGACCAGCGACGGTCTGGTCTATGCATTCGGTTTTAATTCGTGGGGACTAATACGCGGCCAAATGACCGGCATTTACTATACGCCGTGTCTACTGGCCGATAATGTCCGATTTGACACTATAGCCGCTTCACGTTTGGGCCGATTGGCTATCGGTGTATCGGTTGATAATGTCTACTATTTTTGGGGCCGCGAGCCGTCGACACCGGAGTATGAATGCGATCCCAACAGAGTGTTAACCATTGACCAGATGTATGCCCGATATTCGCGCACAAATAAGACACTCAAGACATTCATATTGAAAGAGTTGGTCACAAAAGCAGTGAACAAGACATTCACGATGACGACGACTACGACGACAACGGATGTCTTGAATGATGACGATGTCTACGATTCGGGAGATGAAAGCCAATCGATAACAACAACACTAAGTGATGTCAATTCATTGATAGGAAAGCCTATTATTGACCGACCATTGGTTTGTAGTCGTGAGACGACTGTTGTTAATCAAGTGATCAAAACTAGTGATAATAATAGCAATAATAGCAGTCATAATAAATCTATTAGTGATAATCCATTTGTCAGGTATTTTATTTATATAATAAATATTAAGATATTTTAAACAAATATTAATTATTATATTTTTAATTACCTTTAAATTTTAAAAAAAGCATTTTTATGGACAAAATTTTCTCATCATTTAACTCATCGATCGATTCAGACATTGTGTTCATTATTGATGGCCAACACATTCATTGTCATCAAACTGTTCTCAGATTACGTAACAAAATGTTTTGGCAAAAGTGTCGGTCAGTAGCTGTCGAAGTGGTCAACAATAACAGCAATAACAACAACATGAAGACAGTGGAGACCATCGATGAGATACACATCACTACCTATTCGTACGACACTTTCTATCAGTTTGTCCGCTATTTATACGGCTTTGAACCCGAAATCAATGACTCTAATTGTAAATCACTTATAAAGTTAGGCAAAGTCTACGATGAAGACCTACTAATCGATCGCTGTATTGAATATTTAATTAAAAATTAATAATAATAACAAAAATAATTATATTATAATTTATAAATTTATTAAATTACTATATGTTTGTGTTTATAAAAAATAATTACCGGTAATAATAATAATGATTACAGTATCATAATATGTATTTACGGTAATGATATAATTATTTTACGGTTTATATATTTAATATATTTTTTTCTATTCATATAATTTTATTATTAATAATTGTATTTTTATTAATTAAAATAAATTCTTTATTATTATTATTATTATTATTATTATTATAAATCTAATTAAATAAATATTTATTAAATTGTTGACTAAAATTATTTTAATCAATCCAATCATTAGATCACATGAATAATTTTAAAAAAACATTTTAGTTTATAAATAGATTAATTTTGATGACAATTATTTACAAAATAATAAATATGTTTTTATTATTTAAAAAAAACAAGTTTAATCATTTTATTGATTATATTTACAATAATTATTTTTGTAGCAAAAATTACAGATAATATAATATTATTATAATAAAAATAATTGATTTTTATAAATATAAAAAATACATTATAATCAATATATTAAACTTTATATTTAGTAAACAATATAACATTTTATTATTGTATGATAACTTATGCAACTATTATATATATATATATATATATATAAATATACAATAAAATATTCAATTTTATATTAATTAACTATATTATTATTATTGATAAAATAATTATTATGTTAATAGTATTAAGACTTATCATAATAATAATAATAATAAAAAAAAATTGCTAACACCTATTTATATTATTTTGCAATTTATTATTACCAATTTATTATTTTATTATTATTAATAAATCAATCAATTGTTTTTGAAAACAATAACATAATAAATTTAATTACAGTTATCTATAGTTATTAAAAGTAATATTGTAAATATAAATTTCTATGTAATTATTAATAACAATAATAATAAATAAATTATATTAGTATTATTTAAATTATCAAAATTATGACTATCTGTTCATACAAACAGCTATATAAATATTGTTGTATAGTATTATGTTTGTTGGGCTGTCTGTATCAAATGTATCGTATAACTACATTGTACCTGTCCTATGCTACCAGTACCGATATTAGGTATGAGCGAACCGATAGCCAGGCATTGCCAGCCGTGACCATATGTTTTCATAAGCACCTGTACTGGAAAACTAATAATAATAATAACAATGGTACAATTGATAATAGTGAACAACTTGGCCAGCTAAATACTCTGCCATTGGATAAACAATTTGCCAATTTAAGATACCGGAGCCCGCATACCATGGGTTTCTATTATCCGATAGTGGCGGCTGGTAAAATGATACAATTTAAAAATGTATCCAGCTCATTAAATCTGCTACACTATTGTCGTACAATGTTTCAACAGTGGCACCGGGAGCCAGATGATCTGTATGCTACCAGTATGAATAGTAAATCATCATCATTATCAGCTAATAGTATTGGCCAGGTTTATATCAGCGATTATTTTACAAAAAACATGTCAATGGTTTTCATTGTACATCATCGACAGCGTCGGGTATACGATATATTCAACGAAAATGTCGATACTATTAGTGTTAACAACAACAATGATGGCCAACAACAACAACAACAACACCATTATCTGGTCAAACATCGTAAGGTAGTTATCAAACGGCCACAATTGCGGGACAAACCCGCTAAATGTTTGTCGCCCGTCGGTAAAACTCGGGACCAATGTTTGACCGAATGTATTGTCGAAAAATTCGATACGGATGGCTACAGTTATCCGTATTTATGGTATCTATACTATGAATATTATCCGTACGGGAATATTAATGTCGGGAATATTATCGACAATTTTCCCGATCCTAATAAATTGAAATCAATTCAACAAAAATGCGGCCAATTGTGTAACCAGAAACTAGAGTGTATTGAATGGATTTATTTTACCCAATTGGTTGCCGACAAACAAAATCTGATACCACAAGTGTCGACTGTGGATCTAAAACTGCTGATACCTACCGAACCCGATACCATATATGACATGTCCTATAAGCTATCTATCGAAGAGTTTGTCTGCCTGATGGCCAGTACGGTTAGCCTATGGTTTGGCGGTTCGGTATTGATGTTGACCAATGGGTTGAAGGATGTTTCGATAAATGTGGTCAACATGTTAGGCATACACCAGCACCTGGTGTTTAATAAACATAAAAAATTTGTATTCAATATTAATAATAATAGAAAACAATCTGATTATAATAATAAATCAATAATTAATGATATGATTAGACATAATAATAATAATAATAATAATAATAGATTTAATTTTATTAAACTGTCATCTAATAGATGGTAACAATATTTATTATCTATTATATACTGTATATTAAATTTTTTTTTATTAATTAAGTTAGCTATTGATTATTTATTTATTTATTAAAGCAATTTGTTTATAATAAACTTATTTAGTTACAATATTCAATAAATTGTTAATAATTAAATGAAAATTACACTAACAAAAAAAACAATCACTAAACAACAAGCAATATATAGTCAAGTATTATTAAAAATTTATTTAATAATTTAATTATATTAACACTGTTAATGTAATTTTATAAAATTATAATTATTTATTTATTTTAAATAGTTTATTAGTTAATATTTAAATATTAATTTATATTTGTATATTGTATTCAATGTAGCATTTCTATTATAATTGATGATATAATTTTAGTAATATATTAGTATATATATAATACATTTAATAATAAATTAAATATATATACATATAATCTGTTAACTATATTATTAATTATATGACTAATAAAATTAATATTTAGTAGAACACACACAAAGTTATAAGTAATGTAATCTAATGTTAAAAATATTTTATCATTAATTTTTTTTAATACTATTAAAACTAATTTATTGTGTTAGTTTATAAATGAATATTATCAATGATTATTTTGTTTCATTGGAAAAACAATAAAATACTTAGTATTTTGTAATTAATTAATACAGTACTACTGTATTATTATTATTATTATTATTAGATAACAGTTTTATTATTATTATTATTTTCTAAATTTATATTGCTGTAAAATATTTTTTATAATTTTTTTTATTTAGTAACTGTAACGATGCTAAACGATACTGTATATATATTTATATATATATAAGATATATATAGATAAAAATAATTATATAAATTTTATTATATTTTTTTAATCAGATTAATAATTATTATGAAAACTATATACATGTATTTATTTTGAGTTAAAAATTCAATAAACTAAATAAATTATTAATATTAATATTATTCTGTATGATAAATATCAATATGTATTTTTTGTAATTTTCTAAAAAAATTAAAAAAGTCAATGTAGTATTTATGAGTATTTATAAATGTCAAAAAAAACTACTACAAAAATAAAATTAATTAAAAAAATAGTGTATACAAAATGTATTGTATAAATACAGATACATACAGATAACCTAGTTTGATGGGGAAACACAATATTTATAACAATAATGATTTAATTGATATCAAAAATAAAGGTAATTAATATTTTATGATTCATCACACTTTAATATCAAGGATATACTGTATTGTAATATTGTAAAACATTGTTAATATTAGGTGTAAATAACATTTAGATAAAATTATTGTATATTACAGTAGATAACATTTTTTTTTAATTATAATAAAATATTGTATATAGTATAACAATATATATAATATCATATATATATAAAGTACATGTGTGTACTTACTTATGTGTGCTTAAATTATTTAAACATTATATTATATGATATATATTGTCCTGAAAAAAATAATATACAATTACTGATAGTATGTGCAATAATTTAATAGAGAGAGAGAGAGAGAGAGAGAGAGAGAGATTTTATGATAAAATTTTTATTATTATATATAAATTATTTTAGTAATAAATAAATAATAATAATTTTGGACATACAATATTATTTTTAATTATAATACAAATATAATAATAAATCTGTATATTGTAATATTATTTATAATTATAGTTAAATAAAACAATATGTTATAAAATGTTCATAATTAAATTAAAATTTTTAATTTTATTTTTTTAATAAAATATTTAAACAAGTTTAAAACATATTATAATAATTTTTTTTTTAAAAATTGTAATGGATTTTAATAAAAATAGAAGATTATATAAATATAATCAAAAGGTGATTGATGATTTATTTATTATTTATATTTTTTTTTGGATAAAATTATATATGCATAATTAAATTATTTATTTATTTAACTTTTACAGAAAATATATATAATATTTTTAGCATTTTTGTTGTTAACGGTATCAATTTTTATTTTAAATAATAATGTTAAATATTATTATAATAATATTAATATTAATATTGATAATATTAAAAATAATAAAATTTTTGTACCAATAAATAATAAATTTGTTGCTAAAACACACGATAAAGGTATTTAATTTATAAAAATTATTATTTTATTATTTAAAAAACAAAAATTATAATTATTTTAAGTTTTAAAAATTTATTTATTAATTTGTTTACATATAATATTTAATGTGTGTTTTTTAATGTAAATATATTTGTTTTTATTAAATATTTTTTTAATTGAATATTTATTTTAAGATATTAATTAAATATATATATATAGTTATCATTAATACTTAAATTTAGAGTAAAACAATTAAAAAATAATTAACAATAATTAATTCATATATAAAAAAAATAAATCGTAAGCACAGTTAGCTGCGGCTACGATGCCTGTCCACAGCTAAATGCCAGCAAACTGAACATACATATCATAGCCCATAGTCACGATGATGTTGGCTGGATGTCCACTGTTGATGGCTATTACAATACGGATACCAAATACATCATAACAAATGTAGTCAAAGCACTTGTAGCTAACCGGGAACGTCGGTTCACACAAGTAGAAGTCTATTATTTTAATAGGTGGTGGCGTCAACAGAACCGGGATGTTAGGGAACGGGTGCACGGGTTGGTCAGGGATGGCCAGCTAGTGTTTGCCAATGGTGGCTGGACAGTTAACGATGAGGGTACGGCATACTATCAAAATATTATCGACCAAATGACATTGGGTATATATTTTTTGTTTATTTAATTTTTATATATTATTATTTATTTATTTTTTAAAATTTATTATATTTTACATTTTATATACAGAATATACTGTATTAGATTTATTATAATAGTTTTTACCAATTAATTTATTTTATTTAGCAAAATATAATAAAGTATAGATATAATAATTTATTATTATTATTATATAATTAATTAATTAATTAATTAATTAATTAATTGAAAGTTTATGTTTAATACTGTATAGAATAATAATATTATTATTTTCTCTAAAAAATAACTTATTCTACTAATTATTATTTTAAAAAAATAATAATAATAATTAACTAATATATATATATATATATATATTGTTAGTACAGTAACACAAATATATAAGTTATGAAACTTATTTTTTGTATTATACAAAAATAACAAAATTTATAATTATCCACAACAACAACAAAAAATAGTTTTAAAAAGTTTGTATAATTTATTTTTAATATATTTTTTTTAATTTAATTAAAAACAAATAGGACTTAAATTTTTAAACCAAACATTTGGCCGATGCGGCCATCCGAAAGTGTCCTGGCAAATCGACCCGTTTGGCGCCTCCCTTGAAATGCCCACACTGTACGCCCTGATGGGCTACGACGGACACGTGTTTACACGCGGTCCGACACCGGGCGAGTACGTGTGGCACACGTCCCATGAATTGGCTACACATTTGTTTACAACAATATTGCACGGTGGCGATAATTTCTACTATCCCCCTACTGGTTATAATTTTGAAAATACCGAAAATCTGGTCAACCAGTTGAATGTTGGCAACAAAACCGGTAAACTCATCGAAATTGGTAGGCAATGGGACCGCGATTACGGCAATACTGGTCACGTATTGATGACATTTGGCGGCGATTTTTTGTACAAAAAAGCCGATCAATGGTTCGATAGTATCGATCGGATGGTTGCCTTTGCCCGACAATATCATCCGGATGTCAATATACTATACTCGACACCCGATTGCTATGTAAAAGCAGTTAACGAAGCAATGGTCAGTAATAGCAGGGTATATGAGGAAAGGACAGTTGACTATCTATCCTATTGGGTGGGCTACTACTCGAATAGGCCGGCCCTTAAATATCAGGATAGACTGACCAACAATATATTACAGGTATTTTATAGAAAATAGTTTATATCTATTGTGAGTATTTAAAATTATTTACTACTGTATGTATGGTACGGGTATGTAATGTACTGTATGTATGTCTAATAGGCCAGCAAACAGTTGGCAGCAACGGCTCGATTGGATTACCGGAAAAATCGGCCGCATTTGGATGAAGCCCGCAATCAGTTGGCAGTTATGACACATCACGACGCCATCACTGGCACTGCACCGCAGGCCACTGCCGACGACTATACCAGTCGACTGGCGAGCGCCTATTCGGCAGCAAAAGTTATTATTGGTCAGGCCTACAACTATGTCAAACATACCGGTGCCACAAATACTACAGACATACAATTTTGCGATATGTTAAACATAACCAGGTGTACAGTTACCGAAACTACCGATCTATTGGCTGTTACAGTCTATAATCCAATTGCACGACCACTGGTCACTAGAGTAACGGTACCCGTTGTTGTTGTTGCTGGTGATGGTGACCAGTACTATGATGTGTACGATCCGAACGGTATATTAGTATCCGATATCAATCTGATGCCAATTGCCGAACACATTAGACAACTGGCCGAACGTAACGGTAGTCAAGCAACACATCAATTAATTTTTAGTGCAAACATACCGGCGCTTGGATTCAGTACTTATTTTCTGAAAAAACAACAACAAAAATCAGTTAGAAGTAAGTGTTTTTTTGTTAGTATTGTTAAACTAAATACTAATTATTATTATTATTATTAATTACTAATTATTTTAATAACAAAATATTAATAGTAATTAACTAATTTTAATAGTTTGCTAATAATCATAGCTATAAAATAAATAACTAATTTATTTATAGGATTAATTAATTAATAAATATTTACTTAAATTATATTTTATTGATTATTAAATTTATACATAAATTATTTTATCTATTAATATAAGTAATATTTTTTTGGATAAAAAAAACTTATTATTTATTTTTATTTTATTATTTTATTTATTTATTTTTTTGAAAGAAAAACGATTAACAAAACGACAAACAAAAGGGGAAACACTGTATATGACAGGCAAAGGATTTACATTAGAAATCAACAAAACTAACGGTGCATTGCATACGATAACCTTAGCAAATGGACAGTCCTATCGACTGACACAATCGTTCAAATGGTATAAATCCAGACAATATGGTACCGAAAAACACCTGTCGGGTAGTTATGATTTTTGTCCGGATGGCGAGGCCCGGGATTATCAGGAATCGCAGCAGACATTGATATCGACAACTAAGGGGAACGGTATGGACGAACTGAACCAACAGTTTGGCGACTATATTCACCAAACAGTTCGTACGTATTCGGATAGTCAGTTCATTGAATTTGATTGGACAGTCGGTCCGATACCGGTGGACGGCGGCGACAGTTTAGGCAAAGAGATTGTAACACGTTTTCAGTCGACTGATCTGCAAACGGACGGTATATACTATACGGATGCTAATGGCCGGCAAAGTATACGCCGACAATATGACCCCACGAGGCTGTCGTGTGGCGATAATGTCATATCCGGTAATTGGTTTCCCGTTTACAGTCATATTTCGGTTGTCGACGACATCAATAGTTTAGTAATTCAAATAATTGTTTACATAATTGTAAGCGCATCGGTAGATAAAAATAATGATGTGTTTCCTTCCCTACCCCACCCCACCCACCCCTCCATCGGGAAAAAATAGATATACAGATGTCGGTAGTCAACGACCGAACACAGGGCGGGTCATCGCTGATGAACGGATCAATTGAACTGATGGTTCACCGCCGACTACGACAACAGGGTTACGGCGGTAATTTCGTAATCAACGAACCGGGTGTCGATGGTCGGGGACTAGTGGTCAGAGGTCGACACTATCTTGTATTCAATACACCGTCAATCACCAGGAAATTAGTGAAAAATCTAGCGGAACGTCTATCAGCAGCACCTATACTATCGTTCAATACTATCGATACAACTAATATCGATGACTATCGTAGCAAATATCAGACTACTCAATGGTCGCCAATTGGCCAGCCGTTACCCGAATGGATACGATTGTTAACATTGGAAAATTGGTCACAGACTGAGCTATTAGTACGTTTAGAGCACATGTATGAACAGTCAACTGTCGATAATAATAATAATAATACTATCGATGCTATGATGACTACCGTAAATTTGGCCAAACTATTCAATGTGTTTCAAGTGTTATCGGCTATTGAAATGAATTTGGCAGCCAATGAACGATTGGCCGATAGTAGACGTTTGAATTGGACAGCCAAACATGATTATTATGGCAGTTCCGGTGGACCACCACCTACAGGTGCTATCAGTTCAGACAATCTAACCATACAATTACGGCCACAACAAATACGTACATTTATTTTGAAAATTGATGACAACTATCATAGAGAGGGTATATATATATAGATATAACAATAATCTTAAACTATTGATAGTTAGGCATAAATTAAAAAAATAATAATAAAAATTATTAATTATTTTTTCAGCTAAATGTACGCATAGTTGGCTAACTGTCGACCAGTCATCAACAATACCTACCGAAGCGGTTACCGCTGATATCAATGACACAGTTGTTGGTAATATATGCCGTTTTGAACAAAATCAGAGATTTATTGTGGGAATGGTTGATAAAAATCAGGGATGTGTTGCTACTACTACTACTGATGGAAAAGAGGAACAGTATGTTAATAATAACGATACCGTCAAACCGTTTCAGATACTTATTGCTAGTTATATGCAATGGGTTGGCCGTCACGGTGAAGATCCCATACCTGACGGTGCACTAATTGTTGACGACAGTGTCGATAAAGCTAACAGTGCTTATATTGGCCGGTGTTTAATACATGGATCACATAGATTGCTGGACAATAGTGATCATAGACTTTATTATACTATCGATAATAATAATAATAATATTTATAATAATTGTATTAATCATGAAATATTAGTTTGTAATTAAAATTTATTTTAAAATAAATTACTTAATAAATAATTTTAACAAAAATATAAAACAACATTTTAGTATGCTAAATTAATATGATAAAATAAATAAAATTTTCATGTATTATATATATTTATTGTATATATATTAATATATTGTAAGTATACAATTGAATAATGTAATAGATTATATGTTAATTATTATAAATAATATATAGTGTAAATTTTATAATGTAGCATACTCATTTGGTTTATATAAAATATAAATTAATAACATAATCAATTAGTGATACTAACATTTAAAAATAATATTATAATTATAGAATTTCATGCATTTTTTAAATGATAATACATTAGTTAAATAACATATTATTAAAACTAATTCTTATATTAAAATAGCTAATTAATAATTTAATATAATTCATAAAGTTATAATTATTATAAAATTATTAACTTTATACTCTTAAACAAAACTACTAAAATTTCTGTAAAATATTTTCATACATAGATATTATATTTGTTAATAAAATGAAAGTTTTAAAAATTCAATATAAAATAATTACGTATAAATTATTTTATATGAAATTAATCAAAAATGTAATAATTAATATAATTATATTAATTGTATGATTGATTGAACCGGAATAAGTTGTACTAATAATAGGATCTGAAGTAATTGACGAAAGTTCTGTTGGTTTAGAAGTTGGCGATTCAGTTGGCGGCTTAGTTGGTTGAACTGTAGGATCTTTTGTCGGCTCTTTTGTTGGACCAGCTGTCGAAGGCTTAGTTGTAGTTATAGGGGTTGGTGTTATTGAAGTATTTGTTGAAGTTATAGAGGTTGGTGTTGTTGAAGTATTTGAAGTTATAGGGGTTGGTGTTATTGTAGTATTTGAAGTTATAGGGGTTGGTGTTATTGTAGTATTTGAAGTTATAGGGGTTGGTTTTATTGAAGTTATAGAGGTTGGTGTTGTTGAAGTATTTGAAGTTATAGGGGTTAGTGTTATTGTAGTATTTATTGAAGTTATAGAGGTTGGTGTTGTTGAAGTATTTGAAGTTATAGAGGTTGGTGTTGTTGAAGTATTTGAAGTTATAGAGGTTGGTGTTGTTGAAGTATTTGAAGTTATAGGGGTTGGTGTTATTGTAGTATTTGAAGTTATAGGGGTTGGTGTTATTGTAGTATTTGAAGTTATAGGGGTTGGTGTTATTGTAGTATTTATTGAAGTTATAGAGGTTGGTGTTGTTGAAGTATTTGAAGTTATAGGGGTTAGTGTTATTGTAGTATTTGTTGAACTTATAGAGGTTGGTGTTGTTGAAGTATTTGAAGTTATAGGGGTTAGTGTTATTGTAGTATTTGTTGAACTTATAGAGGTTGGTGTTGTTGAAGTATTTGAAGTTATAGGGGTTAGTGTTATTGTAGTATTTGTTGAACTTATAGAGGTTGGTGTTGTTGAAGTATTTGAAGTTATAGGGGTTAGTGTTATTGTAGTATTTGTTGAACTTATAGAGGTTGGTGTTGTTGAAGTATTTGAAGTTATAGGGGTTAGTGTTATTGTAGTATTTGTTGAACTTATAGAGGTTGGTGTTGTTGAAGTATTTGAAGTTATAGGGGTTAGTGTTATTGTAGTATTTGTTGAACTTATAGAGGTTGGTGTTGTTGAAGTATTTGAAGTTATAGGGGTTAGTGTTATTGTAGTATTTGTTGAACTTATAGAGGTTGGTGTTGTTGAAGTATTTGAAGTTATAGTGGTTGGTGTTGTTGTAATATTTATTGAAGTTATAGGGGTTGGTGTTGAAGTATTTATTGAAGTTATAGTGGTTGGTGTTGTTGAAGTATTTGAAGTTATAGGGGTTGGTGTTGTTGAAGTATTTATTGAAGTTATAGTGTTTGGTGTTGTAGTATTTGAAGTTATAGGGGTTGGTGTTGTTGAAGTATTTATTGAAGTTATAGAGGTTGGTGTTGTAGTATTTGTTTGCAAAATATCTTTGAGTCTAAATAATTTCATATTTATAAACTTATGGCCACAATAGTCATGATAATCTGGGTTGAATTTGCAATAATTTATCTTCAAATAAATTATCTCTTTTTTAACAATCTCAATTACTTTTTCAAGACATTTACTTAACTTTAAAAAATAAAATAAAAATTAGAAGTAAATAATTTAACTATATATGTTTTTTAATGCTTTTATTGCAAAATATATAAATATAATTTTTACCTTGTCAACAATATTCATAATACAATCAAACCATAGAGCAATTGTACAGCATCTAGAATTAACAGATAAATTGTTGTCAAAATTGTCCATGTTGATTTTTTGATTTAATAAGCATCTAGTTGATTCTGTTAGTATAGTTGAACAACATTGATCATTTTTACAGTCATTATAGACTTGAACAAAATTGCTATTGTCAATAATTTGTTTGTCCATCATAATTTCCATAAATTTATCATTGACCATTGATAAATTTTTATTATTAAACTCATTTAATTGATTACCGCAATTTATTGCAGTAATACAAACAGACAATAGTAATAGACAATTATATTTCGTATACATTGTCTTATTTTAAAGCATATTATATTATTATATAATAAATTAGTTAATGAAAATTTTTTTATAAACAATTTCTATAGAAATTAATTATAACTAAATTGTTAAATTATTTTGTTGAGTACTTATATATGAATTTAGTATAATATTAAATGTATCAGTTATATTTATAAATTTTTCTGCACATGTTAACATATTATTAAAAATTTATTGTTATTTACATTTTATTAATATAATTAACGTTGGTAAATATTATTTATTATGACTTTTGTAAATTATTTGCATAAACAAGTTTATAACATTATATTATATATATATAATAATTAAATATAAACTTGTTGATTTAGTTATTAATAAATTTTAATTCCTATTATTAATCGTATTTAATATTTTAAATCTAATTATCTTTTTATTACTATTATTACTATCTAAATAAACTTTTAATCAATTATTAAATTCACGAACTCGTTAAAAGTGCTCTCATATCTGAATTCTATGTGTTGTTGTGTCTGTATTTTATAAACTTTTTCATTGAATAAATAAGAATCGAAAATCAGATTTAGATTCTATATTAGTCTTGTTAGACAAAAATTGTCAATTTTTTGATTAAAATAAAAATTATTTTATGCAATTTATTATTGATTATAATTTTTTTTAATAAAAATATTCTGAAATAATCCATTAATAATTAATTTTTTTGCGTATGTTATCAATGTTTCTATATTTAATAAATTAAATAAATTAAAGTTATATAAAAATTTTTTTTTAAATGTATTAAATATTATTTGTTAGAAAAAACATTTTCAATAATAGATAATAAGTAAATGATATTTTATTAATCTATAATTTTTTGTCTAATATAATGTCTAATTAATACTTTAATATATTTATACGTACAATAACTTTATTAAATTGCCGTAAATAACTTAATTGATAAACTATTCAAATAAAAAATTATTTTCAAATATTTATATAAACATTATTATTTTAATAATTCTAATTATAAATATTTCATTATTATTAATATATTAATATACAGTACATTTCATAGTTAATTTTGATAAAAAAAACTAATACTTTAGTCATAAAAGTTAAGTAATAAATATTTTTGTTATTAGTTATTATTATTATTATTGTTGTTGTTGTTTACTAATTACTTATAATTATTTTTATTAATAACTTTTATGACATAATAATAACAACATAAACAAAAACATTTCACTTATTACATAAAAAATAGTTTGAAAATATAATTAAAGGATTATAGTTGTAATAATTGTTTTATTTTATAATAAAACATTATAAAGTACTGAAATTTAATTTTACTATTGTACTAAATTAATATCATTAATATATTTACAAAAATATATATTATAAATTTAACGAGTTAAATATTTATAAATAAAACAAAAAAAATTATTATATACTAGAATATTTATATAAATCAAAATGATTAATATTTATTTTTTAAAAATATATAATAAATATTTAATGGATTGTAAAAATATTTTATATTATTAGGAATTTAAATAAATAAAACTTTTAAATATTTGCTGTAATTGATAATAACATTAACAACAACAACAAAAATAATGGCTATATTGTATTTTTAAAACTATTTAATATTAAAATTTAATTATTTTTATGTTAATTATATTTTTATTAAATATTATTTATTATTTACCTATAGAATTGAAATAATTTAACTTATATTTTTTGTTGTTGATGTTAGTGTTAAAATTTTTTATAGTAATTTTTATAAAATTTTGTAATAATAATACTGTATTTATATATTAATATTTTTTATATTAATGTCTAAAATAATATTTCTAATAACCAAATTATTATTTTATTTTAAATTTATAAATTAACTAAATAATTTAACGTTTATAAATTAAAAATTAGCTAGCTACAAAGAAAGTGAAAATAATATATAAGATATTATAGAAAAGTAAGGGGGGTTATAAAATACATTACAAATAAATAGGATAACAAATATAAAACAACATTTTATCATTATAATTTTTTTTAAACAAAATGATTTAATATAATAAAATATATTATATCATATTATTGCTTACTCATTTAGTTTAAATAAAATATAAATAAATAGCAATTAGAGTTAATAATAAGTAGTTATAGTTTATTATTGTTATTTAAATTTAAATAATTATTAATTTCGTATATTTTTAAAATGCTAATACTTTTATTAAATTTTTAAAAATCATATATTTAAATAGCTGATTAATAATTAAACAAAATTGATAAAATTAATTTTTTTAAATTATTATTTTTATCTTTTTTAAAAAAAGAAGAAAACACTAAGTATGGACAATTTCTGTTTAAAAAATAGTTTCATGTATACAAACTATATTTGCTATTAAATTGAAAGTTAATATTGTTTAAAATTAATATTAAATCTAAAATAATTATGTATAAATTATTTATATAAGAAATTAATAAAAAATGTAATAATTAATATAATTATATTAATTGTAAGATTGATTGAACCGGAATAAGTTGTACTAATAATAGGATCTAAAGTTATTGTCGACAGTTCTGTTGGTTTAGAAGTTGGCGATTCAGTAGTTATAGGCGATGGTGATGGAGTTGTAGCGTTTGTTGTCGGTATAGGTGGTGGTGGTGTTTGCTTAGTTGTCGGTATAGTTGGTGGCGGTGTTTGCTTAGTTGTCGGTATAGTTGGTGGCGGTGTTTGCTTAGTTGTCGGTATAGTTGGTGGTGGTGTTTGCTTAGTTGTCGGCATAGTTGGTGGCGGTGTTTGCTTAGTTGTCGGTATAGTTGGTGGCGGTGTTTGCTTAGTTGTCGGTATAGTTGGTGGCGGTGTTTGCTTAGTTGTCGGTATAGTTGGTGGTGGTGTTTGCTTAGTTGTCGGCATAGTTGGTGGCGGTGTTTGCTTAGTTGTCGGTATAGTTGGTGGCGGTGTTTGCTTAGTTGTCGGTATAGTTGGTGGCGGTGTTTGCTTAGTTGTCGGTATAGTTGGTGGTGGTGTTTGCTTAGTTGTCGGCATAGTTGGTGGCGGTGTTTGCTTAGTTGTCGGTATAGTTGGTGGCGGTGTTTGCTTAGTTGTCGGTATAGTTGGTGGCGGTGTTTGCTTAGTTGTCGGTATAGTTGGTGGTGGTGTTTGCTTAGTTGTCGGCATAGTTGGTGGCGGTGTTTGCTTAGTTGTCGGTATAGTTGGTGGCGGTGTTTGCTTAGTTGTCGGTATAGTTGGTGGCGGTGTTTGCTTAGTTGTCGGTATAGTTGGTGGTGGTGGTGTTTGCTTAGTTGTCGGCATAGTTGGTGGCGGTGTTTGCTTAGTTGTCGGTATAGTTGGTGGTGGTGTTTGCTTAGTTGTCGGTATAGTTGGTTCTGTTGGCTTAGTTGTCGGTATAGTTGGTTCTGTTGGCTTAGTTGTCGGTATAGTTGGTTCTGTTGGCTTAGTTGTCGGTATAGTTGGTTCTGTTGGCTTAGTTGTCGGTATAGTTGGTTCTGTTGGCTTAGTTGTCGGTATAGTTGGTTCTGTTGGCTTAGTTGTCGGTATAGTTGGTTCTGTTGGCTTAGTTGTCGGTATAGTTGGTTCTGTTGGCTTAGTTGTCGGTATAGTTGGTTCTGTTGGCTTAGTTGTCGGTATAGTTGGTTCTGTTGGCTTAGTTGTCGGTATAGTTGGTTCTGTTGGCTTAGTTGTCGGTATAGTTGGTTCTTTTGGCTTAGTTGTCGGTATAGTTGGTTCTGTTGGCTTAGTTGTCGGTATAGTTGGTTCTGTTGGCTTAGTTGTCGGTATAGTTGGTTCTGTTGGCTTAGTTGTCGGTATAGTTGGTTCTGTTGGCTTAGTTGTCGGTATAGTTGGTTCTGTTGGCTTAGTTGTCGGTATAGTTGGTTCTGTTGGCTTAGTTGTCGGTATAGTTGGTTCTGTTGGCTTAGTTGTCGGTATAGTTGGTTCTGTTGGCTTAGTTGTCGGTATAGTTGGTTCTTTTGGCTTAGTTGTCGGTATAGTTGGTGGTAAAGGTATATCTTTTGTTTTTATTCTAAATTGTTTCATAGCTGTATAAACTTGACCACAATTATCATTATGAGTATTAATTTGATAAATGTAACAATCATTTTTATTCAAATTATCTATCTCGTTTTTAATAATCTCAATTACATTGTCAAAACAGGTACTTGTTGATTGCTTGTTTTTTAATGAAAAAATTAAATTATAATTAAAAATTAAAATTATAAGTAAATAATTTAACTATACAAAGTTTTAATTGAAAAATAAATTATAATTTTTACCTTGTCAACAATATTAATAATACAATCATACCATAATGCAATTGTACAGCATTTTCTATCAACTGTTAAATTGTTGTCAAAATCGTCCATGTTGATTTTTTGATTTAGTAAGCATCTAGTTGATTCTGTTAGCATAGTTGAACAATATTGATCATTTTTACAATTTTGATAGATTTGCATAAAATTGCTATTGATGATATTTTGTTTGTCGACAACCATGGTTTCCATAATTTTATCAGTGACCATGGTCAAATTTTCATAATTAAATTCATCTAATTGCTTACGACAATTGATTACGTTTATAGCAAAAAACAATAATAATAGACAATTATATTTAGTATACATTGTTTGAAGTTTATTACAGTATATTATTTATGGATACTGTATATTATAAATTAATATTTTATAAAAAAATTTATTAAAATAATTTCAATTTAGATTAACTATTACTAAATTAATATAATTTTGTTGTTTTGTTTTGTTACTTATATATGATTTTAGTTTACTAATTAAAAAGCTAAGTGTTAAAAGCTATATCTATAAATATTTAGCGCATGTTAACTAATATTAATATTATTAATAATAATTATTTTTGATTTCATTTACTTAATGAAAAGGACATTGATAAATATTATACATATTGATACCTGTATAAATTATATTAGCATTTACAAGTGTATATACTTATAATACTACATTATATAATATTTAAATATAAACTTGATGATTTATTAATTAATAAATTTTAATTTCTATTATCAATAATATCTAATTTATTTTAATCCAATCATACTTTTTTATCATTTAAATAATATTTTAGTCGTTTATTATTTTTTTCGCTTAATATTATATTAAATAATACTATTTAATACTAGTTATATAACTAAATAAAAGTGATTTTACAGTGTATTGAATTGTCAAAAAAATTGTGTTAAATTATTATATATACCGTATATTTATAATATATCTAAAAATATCTTATTAAATAAAATAAATAATACTTTGTTTTATTAATAATAATAATAATAATAATTTATTATTGTTATAATAAATTTTAAATGTTAAATGCTGAACATACAAAAATAAAATGCTATATATATATAATATAAACTTTATAATTTTGGCAATTTAGTTATGTATTTAATTTATTATGCTATATATATATACAAGTACATTTAGCTAAAAAAGCTAATAGTTAGGTACCATGAAATAGATTATGATTATAAATTAAAAAAAATATCACAAATTATTAGATTAAAAGTAATTTCATTAGATTTTTATTTTGCGTATAAGTTTTATCTAAATAATTACATATGAATCACTAAATTTTATCTAAAAATGTTACAGTATTTAATATTAGACTATTTATCTAATAATTAAAAAAAATAAAATATATTTAATAATTAATAAAACAAATTTGATATATATATTAATTTTTTTTAAATATAGTTTATTAAATTTTTAAAATAAATTTTCAATAATAAAAACTAATTTAAAAATATTTTATTAATTTATAACAAATAATTACTAATTAAATATAATTTGTAAGTAATACTTTAATATATTTATATTTAAAATAAAGTCTATATATAACTCAATAATTTTATCATATTAGTTGTATTATCACATTAGGCGTTGTTCACATATTACGTTCGCACTTGAGGGGGGGGGTTAGCCAAATCGAACTTTTGCGAACAAAGGGGAAGGGAGGGGTAGAGACTTTAATAACGTTCGCATTTAGATATCTTATTTCTTGTGGTGGGGGGGGGGGGTAGGGGTTAGGGATAAGCAAACGTAATTTTTTTAAATGACTACATGCGAACAATTGCGAATATAGGGGAGGGAGGGGGTCTAGATTTCTTAAAAAGTGCGAACGTAATATATGAACCACGCCTTATATATATATTAAATATTTATTGATTAAACTCTTCAAACAAAATTATTTTCAAATCTTTGTGTAAACATAATAATAATAATACTTATAAAAAAATATAAAATATTACTTTATATAATTTATATACTAAATTTTGATAGTTGTGATTATTTATTATTATTATTATATACAGTATTAATATCTAAATTTATAAAAATGCGTTAAATATCACTACTTATACTAATAGATTAGAATAATATATATAAATATATTAATTTCAGTTATATAATATAACTTATATATATATATATAATATATATATATAAGTTATATTATATAACTGAAATTAACTAAATAGTTAAGTAGTTTAACAATATAAATATAATCTACTAATTTTATTTGAAAATTTTCCAACACATATAAACAATAACTATTTTATCATTAATTTTTTATCAATAAAATTTATGAACAAATTGAACAATTATAAGAAAATAAAAAAACATATCAATAATATAGTCAATAGATTAATCAATAATAACTAATAATTTAATCACTATAATAACTAATAGTAATAAATACTGTATTTTTTTAAACATATAAATTTCTAAAATAAACTGAAATATTAATAATTAAGTCATTAATAGAAAATATTATAAATATTTTTGTTATTACTATTATTATTGTTTACTAATTATTTATAATTACTTTTATTAATTAATTTAATGTGCAATAATAACAACATAGACAAAAAATGCATTTCACAGATTACATAAAAATAGTTCAACAAATAATTAAAGATAAAAAAATAATTATAATTTTATTAATAATAGTAAACTTATAATAAATTAATAATAATAGTTATAATAATTATTTTATTTTAATTTAAATAATGAAAGTATTCAAATTAATTAAATAAATAAAAAATTAATGCATAATTTAAATATTTTTAAATAAAAAATAAAATATTTTTCTTTATATATATTTACAGGAATACTCAGTTAAATAATTAAATATATTTATTGTTGGATTTTTTAAAAAAATAAAACTTTTTTATAATATTCCCTGAAAATTCCCACATAAAATATAATATATATTATTATATATATTCATATATTTATATATATAACTATATTAGTTATATATATATATATACTATTTGATACTAACTATTGAACATTAAACCCCAGACAATTTCATTAATAATAATATTATTTTAAATTGATAACAATATTAACAAAAAAAATAATGATTAAATGTATTGTTTAACTATTTAATACTTAAAATAAAACTTAAATATTTTTATATTAATTTTTGTTGTTGTTGGATATTATATAAATTATTATCATTTATTATTTAACTAAAACCTATATAATTGAAATAGTTTAACATATATTATTTCAACTTAAAATTATCTATTTATTAAAGTTATATCTAATAAGTAATACATAAAATAACATTTTAAATAAGAAAAATTATTTAAAAAGAAGAAAAAAAAAATATTTTATTAATGTTTAATATAATAAAAATACTTTTCAAAACACAAAATTTTTATTATTAAATTATAAACTTTAAATAATTATTAAAAAATATTTTTTAATAAACTCATTATAGCTATTATTATCACTATAGCTAATATGTTATATTTATGTTAATTAAAGCTATTTTTATAGTGTATATACAGTATAATATATATATATATATTCATACTATTTGGTACTAACTATTGAACATTAACCCACAGAAAATTTCATTAATAATAATAATATTTTAAATGGATAACAATATTAACAACAAAAAAATAATGATTAAAATGTATTGTTTAACTATTTAATAATATAACTTAAATATTTTTATATTAGATTTTGTTGTTGTTGAATATTATATAAATTATTATCATTTATTATTTAACTATAACTATACCTATATAATTGAAATAGTTTAACATATATTTTTTCAACTTAAAATTATCTATTTGTTAAAGTTATATCTAATAAGTAATACAAAAAAATAACACTTTAAATAACAAAAAGAAATTAAAAAAAAGAAAAAATTTATTTTATTAATGTTAATATAATAAAAATACTTTTCAAAACAAAAAAATAACTTTTAAATAAACTTAATAATAATTATTAAATTTATTATTAAAAAATATTTTTTTCTAAACTCATTATAGCTATTATTATCATTTTTAATAATAATATGTTACACTATATTTAAGTTAATTAAAACTATTTTTATAGTGCATATAATATATATATATATATATATATATTCATACTTTTTGGTACTAACTATTGAACTTTAACCCCCAGACAATTTCATTAATAATAATAATATTTTAAATTGATAACAATATTAACAAACAAAAAATAATGATTAAAATGTATTGTTTAACTATTTAATAATATAACTTAAATATTTTTTTATTAGTTTTTGTTATTGTTGTTGAATATTATATAAATTATTATCATTTATTATTTAACTATCATATAACTAAACCTATATAATTGAAATAATTTAAAATATATTATTTCAACTTAAAATTATCTATATATTAAAGTTATATCTAATAAGTAATACATAAAATAACACTTTAAATAACAAAAATAAATTAAAAAGAAGAAAAAATTATTTTATTAATGTTTAATATAATAAAAATACTTTTCAAAATATAAAAATTTTATTATTAAATTATAAACTTTAAATAATAAATATAAAATTTATTATTAAAAAATATTTTTTTCTAAACTCATTATAGCTATTATTATATATAATAATATGTTTTATTTATGTTAATTAAAGCTATTTTTATAGTGTATATACTGTATATATATATATTAAAAATATATTTCATTTAAAAAATAATACTTATAATAAAGGATATTTTATTAAAACAAATATACTGTAACTTTATTTTGTAGTATTTTAGCATAAATATTTTTTAATAACTACATAATATTAACTAAATAAAGTTAATATAATATATAAAATAATTTATCATTAATTTATATAATTTATAATTATTTTTTTTATTAAGTTTATTATTATAAGCATTACTTTTGTTAATTAATTATTAGTAATTATATAGTTTTTCAGAAATTACAACTTAGTTTATCTAAATAATTAATTTAAGTATTAATTTTATTTGAAATGTTTCAATTGTTAGATAGCATTATTAAAAAAAAAAGTATCTTGATTAAGTAATTTATTTATTTATTTCTTGTATGAAATCTATAGTATCAAAAACGGTAAAACTATAGACATTAACATAACTACTATATTAAAAAATATAACAACAGATCCCGAGTCCGTTGTTGTTGTTGGTGTTGGTTCGGGTGTTGTTTCGGGTGTTGTTTCGGGTGTTGTTGTTGGTGTTGTTGGTGTTGTTGGTGTTGTTGGTGTTGTTGGTGTTGTTGGTGTTGTTGGTGTTGTTGGTGTTGTTGGTGTTGTTGGCGTTGTTGGTGTTGTTGGTGTTGTTGGTGTTGTTGGCGTTGTTGGTGTTGTTGGTGTTGTTGGTGTTGTTGGTGTTGTTGGTGTTGTTGGTGTTGTTGGTGTTGTTGGCGTTGTTGATGTTGGTCCGGGTGTTGTTGTTATTGGTTCGGGTGTTGTTGTTATTGGTTCGGGTGTTGTTGATGGTGTTGGTCCGGGTGTTGTTGTTATTGGTTCGGGTGTTGTTGATGGTGTTGGTCCGGGTGTTGTTGTTATTGGTTCGGGTGTTGTTGATGGTGTTGGTCCGGGTGTTGTTGTTATTGGTTCGGGTGTTGTTGATGGTGTTGGTCCGGGTGTTGTTGTTATTGGTTCGGGTGTTGTTGATGGTGTTGGTCCGGGTGTTGTTGTTATTGGTTCGGGTGTTGTTGATGGTGTTGGTCCGGGTGTTGTTGTTATTGGTTCGGGTGTTGTTGATGGTGTTGGTCCGGGTGTTGTTGTTATTGGTTCGGGTGTTGTTGATGGTGTTGGTTCAGATGTCGGCGGTTCGGTTATCGATTCTTTCAGATAATCGTTTATCACTTCAGCATCTATATCCGGATCTAGTTTACTGACACTTAATCTGTCTGCAACTTCTATAGTCAGATCATAATTGTCTTTGTCTAAATTGACCGGACCGCCTAAAACAACTGTACATAAATATACTAATATAATAAAATTAATTTTCTGAATTAACATAGTTAATTTAAAACTATTAAAACTAAAATAAACTAAAATTTTAGTTTCACAAAATTACAAACAAAAAAATTTATTTTCAAACTAAATGATTATAGAATAGGTTTTTTAAAAATAAAAAAAATTAATATATTAAAAATATTATTTTTGTAATATCTTTAATACTATTTTTTATGTGCAATAATAATAATGTTTAATTAAAATGAAATTAGCTTTTATTAAATCTTAATTTTAACTTATAATTATATAAATCATAATTTTTTTGTTATCAGCAAATTATTTGGTTTGTAATAATAATAAACTAATAAATATTGTTGACTAGTAATAGTCGGTCTAATTTAGTTTAATTTTTTTTTATAATCAATAATATTTTTATAGCCATGTTTGTACTAAATTACAAATATGTATAATTATATATATATATATACTGTATGTATAATGTATATATAATTATATATATATATATATATATATACCAGAATCGTTGTTATCAATTGTTAATTGAAATATTGAAATTTATAATTAAATATAATATAATTATATATTAACCTATAGACATAAACTATTTTTATTATTTAAGAAATTATTTCAGAAATTATTTCAAAAAATATAATAAATGAAATTATTTTTATAATATAGCAATAATTAATACATTATTATAGTTTGATATTTATTTATTTAATCATAAATTATATAAAAAATATATAAAATAAATATATTTTAATAGATACCGGTATAATAAAATACAAATGAATTTCAACGTTATTTCAATGTCTATTATAAATATAAGATATATTAATAGTTATTTTTTAATAAATACTATTTTTAATGTTAATATAAATTTATCTATATCATTTAATACTAAATAATAGATTAAAAAATTATAGAGTATATTAATCTAATATTATTATTTTAGATTTAATTATTATATATATTTATAGAAAATAATATATAAATATTATAATATACCGATATTTGATTTCATATTAATGATTTATGTTTATTATTATATTAATTTAATTAATTAATTAAATTAAATTAAACATGTAATATTATTTTAAAAATTAATCTTAATATAATTTATGGTAAACAATATATACTGTATATATGTTAATTTAAATATAATTTTTAAAAATATAGTAAATATATTTTTCATGTAAATTATACTATAAATTATAGTCTAGACTAAAATATAATCTGTTAAAAAATTATAATATTTCATGATTTTATTATTATTTTTATTATCATAATTATATTATTTCAAATAAGATATCATTTTGTTTTTTATTATTATACATATAATGAAATACATTCATTTATGTATTGTATATAAATTGTAAACATGTTTTTATAATACCTATTATGAATAGTATAATAAAAATAATTATAAAAAAAACAAATTATAAATAAAATTAAATCGTACAAAATATTTATAATATTATAATTGTATTGAAATTAACAAATAAAATATATATATAACCAATGGACGTCACAATATATTTATTAACTATATTATATCAATATTAGTAAAGCCATATACTATATATTAATTAAGTTTTTTAATTGCATGAAACAATAAAATTTTAATTAAAACAAATTATTATAATAAAAACAAACTTTTAAAAAATTTATTTAATAATATTATTTAGTTAAATTATCAACTAATTAATGTATAATACCTATAATATTGAAAAAAATAAGTTATTTATATGATTTTTATTTTAAATATATGGAAATTTTATCTTTATTTTTTTAATGTATTAAATTAATCGCATAATATATAAGTACTATCTATAACCAATCATTGTTGGTGGCCGACGGCGGCGTCTAACTGGCCAAACAAACAAGTAGTTTGTAGACTAAAATGTGTTGACACCACTGGTATTGACAGCCAGCCGGTCGACGGTCAATGTGTTTGTGTGTGAATGTGTGTGTGTATGTGTGTGTGTATATGTGTGTGTATGTGTTTGTGTGTGAATGTGTGTGTGTTTGTATGTATGTAAGATTATGTGTGTGTGTGTGTGTGTGTGTGTGTATGTGTGTGTATGTGTGTGTGTGTATGTGTGTGTGTATGTGTGTGTGTATGTGTGTGTGTATGTGTGTGTATGTGTGTGTGTGTATGTGTGTGTATGTGTGTGTGTGTGTGTGTGTGTGTGTGTGTGTGTGTGTGTGTGTGTGTGTGTGTATGTGTGTGTATGTGTGTGTATGTGTGTGTATGTGTGTGTATGTGTGTGTGTGTGTGTGTGTGTATGTGTGTGTGTATGTGTGTGTATGTGTGTGTATGTGTGTGTRTGTGTGTGTGTGTGTGTGTGTGTGTATGTGTGTATGTGTGTATGTGTGTGTATGTGTGTATGTGTGTGTATGTGTGTATGTGTGTGTGTGTGTGTGTGTGTGTGTGTGTATGTGTGTGAGGAAACGATATATAAAATTTGATATTAATATCTACCGATTTGTTTGGTAGACTACGACAACAACAACAACTGATTTTGTTTTATTAAATTTAGATATTGCTGACACTTTTTTTTTATTAGACCCGACTCGGCATTGGACGTCACTTTAAGGACGGTGTCGATTATTTTTTTCTGGACCCGCAAACCAAATGTTCCCAAATATATATAAATTGTCCACCAATGTAATCATCTAATAATTTATTATTAGTAATAATATTATTAATAATAATAATATATGTATTTAATGTTATAATTATAATTTTTATTTTATTTAATTTTAAAGCTTTTAATTATTAAAATTATTATTTTTTGATTTTATAAAATTTGTATATTTATTTTAAAAACTTATTAATTATATATACCGGTATATGTATACTATGCATTGCATAGTTTTTAAATACTGTATATAAACTTTATATAACAAAATTAAATTGATTTTAATATAATTTTTTATATATAGTATTTTTAGTTGTTAATTTAAACTTAAATGATTTTATTAAATAAAATAAATAATAATTTTTTTAAAAATAATTTTATTGGATAATGAAATTATGAACTAATTATTAGTATGTAGATAATAAGTTTATAGTGATGCCCAATATCAAGTTTTACTATATTTTATTATATATATATAATTTTATTACTATGTAATGTTAGGTATTCTAAAAATTTATTTACTTTTTTTAAACATAATTATATGTATTGTATTTACTTAGCGGTATAATAAAACAAAAGTGTCTATTTTATTTGAAATTATTAAATAATAATCATAATTAAAAAATAATTAAATTTTAATAGATAATATAATTAAAAAAATTGTTAAAATTTACATACAAGCATACTTATTATATTTGATTATTAAATTAATATTTCTGTTTTATAGTTTTTAATTATTTTTTAAATAATTTTATAATAAACTACTAATACAGTACTACTACTACTACTGTTTCTATAATTTCTATATAATATTTTTAGTTTTATTAGCTTAATTTAATTACTAACTTAAAACATATAATTTTTTTAATCATATATAAGATACTCGTATTATTTACAATTTAGAATTATTGTAATTAAAAAAAACCTAAAATTAAGATATTTATTTAAATAAAAAAATAAATAATTTTATTAATATTTAATATTTTACTTATTTATATATATATTTAATTATTTACTTATTTATATATATATTTAATATTTTACTTATTTATATATATATTTAATTATTTACTTATTTATATATATATTTAATTATTTACTTATTTATATATATATTTAATATTTTACTTATTTATATATATATTTAATTATTTACTTATTTATATATATATTTAATTATTTACTTATTTATATATATATTTAATATTTTACTTATTTATATGTATATTTAATTATTTACTTATTTATATATATATTTAATATTTTACTTATTTATATATATATTTAATTATTTACTTATTTATATATATATTTAATTATTTACTTATTTATATATATATTTAATTATTTACTTATTTATATATATATTTAATTATTTACTTATTTATATATATATTTAATATTTTACTTATTTATATATATATTTAATATTTTACTTATTTATATATAAATTCAATATTAGTATTTATTTATTATAAAAAAATCTCATTAATATAAATTTAGTATTCGGGCAAATTCCCGCACTCGTTTTATTTCCTATGTTTCCTACTGGTTATTCCCAGGGAATTTACTATATTTCCTTTTTGCTATCACCTATTGAACCACTAGTATAGACAACTAATTTTGATTATAAAATTCAAAATAACATATGTTTTATTAAACACTTGTATTTTGGTTGATTAAAATTGTTAAATAGTATAAATAAATTCATTAGAATTCAAATTTATTTTTATTAAAACAAAACAAACAAATATTTCAATGAAATTTTATGCAAATAAAATTAGTTTTTATTTTGTAGTATTTATTTTTTTAAAAAATATAAAATACATTTTCTCATATTTTCTGGGAAACTTAGAAGGATTTTTATTAGGAAATATTTTTGGGAAAGTTAACAAAACTTTATAAAAATGTAATATTTTTTCTCAGTAATTTTTTTTGTTTTGTAATTTAACTAAAAATAATAATATATATTTTTTATTAAAAAAATCATGATTCATGATTTTCAATTTATGTCTTAATATATTGTAGTCACTTTAGGATTTAAAAAAATAAATAAATTAATATTATTATTGTCTATTATAATACACGTAAGCATAGTTGTAATTAGGAGTTACAAGCAAACAATAAGTTAGTATATTGTAAAAAAACAGTAATTTGTTTGTTTTTTGGGGGGGTTGGGTGGGAGAGGGGTTACCCAAACTAACTGCAATTTAAAGGGCTAGACTTGAATGGACAATAAAACACTGGTAACCTATCTGGGTATTGAACCCACCCCCACCCCCCGGTCGTATGCTAACAGGCAGTCGATTACTTACTCTCCTTAATAATTGTTTTACGTAAATATGACATTGCATAAAAATCAAAAATTATATTTAATAGCAAATATATATATGTATATGTTGAAATAATATTAGAATAATTATATTTAATATTAATTACTATAAATTAATTTTTATTAATAATTAATAGAAATAATTTAATAAAATTTATTGTTATATTGATGTGAATTGTATATTTAAAAGAAAATTGTTGTTTAAATATTAATATATATTATAAAGCATTATTTATATCTATACTTTAGTCAATAAAATATCATTATTGTTGATTAAAACTATAGACAAACTAATATTTTTAAAAATGTTACTTTTATTCATTATTAGTATTATTATTATATTAATATTGTTTCGCAGGTATGTATATACCATAATACTAAAAAATAAAGATAATGAATGTTTTTTAATTCAATATAAATATATATACATATATTCACAAATTACTAACTATATTAAAATTTTTATGAACTAAAAATAATCAATTTTTTTAGTTATCTTAACCGTAATTATAACTATTGGTCGGACAGAGGCCTAAACGGACCGAAACCCTGGATATGGTTTGGCAATACATTGGAGGAATTGTTTCGTCCGATTTCGGTCATCGATAGAGAGAGACGTCAAAAATATGGACCAACTTATGGGTGAATAAATAAAACAAGATTTTATAAAATTATTTTTAGTATTTATACTTAATTTTTTTTTACATTTACTTAAATATATTAAAAGTATTTTTGAATCAAATGAGCCAATTATGATGACATCGGATCCCCAGTTAATCAAAAATATTTTGATCAAAGATTTCAATATATTTCGCAATACAAGACCAGCATTGCTAACACCCAGCGATCATCCAATCTATCGGTATGTTATCGACAATACGGGCGACGATTGTTGGCTACGAATGCGATCGGTTATTAGGACACTGTTTACCGATCAGAAACTCCGAGCAATGGCCAAAAATATTGACAACAATTTAGTAGATTTAACCAATTCATTGGACAGGCTATTGGTTGATCAGTCGACTACTGGTGTCGACATTAGACAGTTGTTTGTCAATCAGTCGATTGATTTGATGGGTTCGGTAATGTTTTCGTGGAAACCAAATTCATTCAATGAGCCTAACAATAAAATTACCCGGCTAATGAAACGTTTATTTTTTCCATCAAAATGGCGTATATTAGCCAATCTAGTACTACCAAAATTTATGCTACAAGTGCTTAATATGTCTAATATTATATCTACCGAAGCGCTCGACGTATTCGCTAAGCTAACAGTCGATGAGTATAGTAAACGTCAGACGTCTGTGAGCACCGATACCTACGAAGACTTTTTTCAATCGCTGCTCAACCGATGTCCGGAATTTATGGGCGAATCGTCGGACAATAAAACAGTCGGACAGTCGGGTATGATATTAACACTGAACACTGACCGTAAAATTAAAATTAATAACTTATTGTATAAATAAATATATAATTATTTACTAATATTTTTTATATAGAAATGTCAAAAATTGATCAAATGATGAGCAAAGATGAAGTGGTGGCCAATATGTTCTCCTTATTTCAGGGAGGGTTTGACGGCCACTCGCTATCCATGACATTCATTATCTACGAGTTGGCCATCAATCCCGAGTGTCAGCAAAAAGTCTACGAAGAAATTATGACCTGTTATCGGGATCGGGATTCCGATAACAGCAGCAATAATCGTACGACAATTGACGGCCAGTTGTTTGATTGGGAATCACTGGTCAAACTGGACTATTTGGATGCCTGTATATCGGAAGCAATGAGACTGCACGCGGCTGTCAATAGAGACGGACGGGTAGCCAATCAGGACTATACAGATGCGACAACCGGTGAGAACTATCTAAAAATTGTTAATTTTAAAAAAAACTAATAATAATAATAATTATTATAATTTTGATATAAAAATAAATAGGTGTTACCATCGAAAAGGATCAGGTAATCCAGTTTTCACGATCAGCAGTACAGCGCTCTGCAGATTACTACCCGATGCCCGACCAGTTCATACCCGACCGGTTCCTCAAACATAACAGACACCAATTGATTGACTCGGCGTATCTGCCGTTTGGTTTGGGCCGTCGTATGTGTCCCGGCTATAGATTTGGACTGATGGCCATCAAATTGACCATGGCACATTTGTTGATGCGCTACAAGTTTTTAAAGCTAAATAATAACCAAACCGTATTCAAAACCAATCCGATTGTCGAACACTATACCTATTGTCCAGAAATGTTGTTATTGAAAATTGAAAAACGGACAGTTAATTAATTTTAATAGTTATATATTTTTAGTTACTTTAATTTTTAAAATTTTTTTAAATATGTAACGTAAATATTATTTTTTTTAAAAACTATTACTGGTTTATATTTTAGTTTATATCTATAATTTTATTAATCATTTAATATTTATATTTAAGATATTGAATGAGTTTTCAATCAAATATAATATATATTAGTATATATTAAATAAACATACTAATAAATTTTAATTATTTAGCAAATGTTTATCTAAATAAATAAAAAATAAAATAAAACAAAATTTCAAGAAAATAACATATTAATTAAATATTTAATAATATTATTAATAGAAAAAAATTAATAATAATTATTAAATTATATATTTCATATCTAATTTTCTTAATTTATAAATATATATATTTTCAATAATAATAATATCATATTCTAGTATGTTTTAATAAAAATATAAAATTATATATTAACAAAATAATTATTAATTAATTTTTACAGTTTTTATATTAGTATTTATAGTAGTACTATGTATTTAGTTAATACTTTTATTTAGTTTAATAATTTTAAAAAAAATATCAAAATAAGTGTTAAAATATTTATATTTAATTAAAAAATTGTATTTTTATTTATTATTTTTAACATAATTGTAGGGACCAATTAATATTTGATTTCTATTTGACAGAATTTTGCATTTCTAAAAAAATTAGTACATTTGAATTTATGAATTGGTAAAACCCCTACAATTCTTTAATATTTTAATATATTCTACATACAGGTGCCGGCATACCATTGAAGCCAATGTTATCAAAGTTAGTACTATAAGCGCCCATATTTGCAAACATAAGCCATTCGCCTACAAACATCTCAACCAGAGGACAGTTATCTCGAATACAGTCATGACTACAACATGTCGGTCCCCATAGTATACTGTTATAGGTCTGCCTTTTTGCTATGATATCCGATGATAACAGTGGTATCGGTTCATAAACTTTACGAATATATATAGAATCTCTGAACGATCCGTAGGCGCCGTCATTCAGTGTATACATAATATGTGGCCAATTATTTTGGTCATCACTAACCTCGCGTCGGGACAACACACGGGTCAGTACAGTGAAAGCAGTTTCACAAAAGTATGTGCCCGGTTCAGCCATAACAGTCAGATTGTCATACCAGTGCCCATTATCATCATCAGCAAAATGTTTATCAATGGCCCTATTGATGGCTTCAGCCATCTGTTCAAATGATATCTCATTGTCCAAACTATGGCTCCATAGTCCAGGAAATCCACCGCCAATATCCAGTACAGTCATCTCATAGCCCAGTGCTTCGGCCATATCAAACACTTGTCGTGCACTGGCAATTGCCTGTTCATAGGAACTGGCACTTTGGACTTCGCAACCTACATGAAAGGCCACACCAATAACAGTCAAACCCATTTGTTTTGCAGCCGACAACAGATTAAACGTATCAGTCATAGAGACACCAAACTTGCGATTTAGTCGGACCTTTGAGTCGGAGTCGTCCACTTTGATACGCACCAGTAGTCTAGCCTCCGGGTGTCTGATTTGTATTTTCTTAAGCTCTTCCAGACAGTCAAATGTCATACAATCAATGTTTTCATTGCGTGAATAATCAAGCGATGCATTAGTTTTGCAAGTGTTTGCAAATATGATTGACTCGGGTTTGGCACCCAATTCAAGTACTGTTTCAATTTCGTGCTATTAGTTTAAGTGATTTATATATGAATTACAAATTACCTCAATATGTATATAATTTTTAATAAATAGAAACAATTAGGTATTCAATTATATATTTAGATTAAATAATGATCTATACCTGACTGGCACAATCAAACCCGACTCCCAGTTTATTGAGCACTTTGAGCAACGGTAGACTGGGGTTAGCTTTGACGGCATAATAGGGACTAATTCTGGGCATTAGTCGACACCATTGACTATACTTTTCGATGACATCCTCGACATTGAATATACTGTACGGCAGTTCACTATTGTTTAAATCGATATTATTTTCAATAAACTCAATGATCTTATTCATTATTATAAATATTATTATTATTATTTTATATATATACTTTCTTATAAATGTAATTTATATTATATAATTATTATTTTTTAAATATATATATAATATTTCTACAAAAATTAAATGAAATATAATATTTCTACAAAAATTTAATAAATAATTTATTATTCAAGATAGAAGTTTCATTAATTTCTTAGTCATCATAAAGTCTCGTAAATATTTTTTAACTAATGATGAAAAAAGTTGTTTTATAAAAAGGTTAAAACTTATAGTTTATATGATTGTAAAGTTAGGTGGTAGGGTTAAAGCCATTTTAATATAAATAAAGACATAGTTTTTTAATATTTTACCCATTTGTCTGGACTATAATAAAGTGGTCAAAAATTTATTTCAATTTTCTTTAAAAAAATAAAGCTATAAAGTATACTAAATAAATTTTTATTGACTTTAGTACTAATTTACTAAATATGAATAGCTGACTAAAACTAAATTTATATTTATATTATTAATAATATTATTATTAATAATATATTTAATTGATTTATTGATATTGTTTAAAAATTATATATTTTTTTATAAAAATATTACGAAAATTAAGTGAACTAATTTATTTTAAAAAATTATTTTATTAAATATTTTTTTTAAATATCTAGAAAATATTACTATCCCCTTTATTCCAACCCCCTTTTTCTTTAGAATAAAATTTTTTGCATAATCATAATATATTATTAATGTATTATTAACAATTAATTTAATTAAATTGATTTTACGTAGAAAAATGACATTGATTTTTTTGTTTTTTATTTTTTTTATTAATATCATTAACAATAACTATTAGAAGTTAGCTAACTATTCAATGAACGTTAATTATTATTATTATTATTTTCCCACAATAATTTTGTAGTTATAATTATTTTATTACAATAAGATTTTCATAATTATTATTAACTAATGTTTTCATATGTTCCTTGCTTTTCAAGTGAAAATTCCCAGGGAATCTACTAACTTATTCAACCCTAAACAAAATAGTTAATTATAATGTTTAGTAAAAAAACAAATGTTATATTAAGCTGTATATTTTTTTGATAAATAATATAACTATAAAATTATTTATTATTTTTTAAATATTTTAATCGAAAGTTTATTGGTACTAATTTTTTTATACAACTTACAAATTATATTTTCCCTTCTAAAATAATCTAGGAAAGGAGATGAATATGAAGTATTTTCCCTTAAAAAACTGGTGATATTATATTAGGGAACTTTCCTAACTTGAGTATCATTACAAACCATTATTATAATAATAATGATTATTTAGAAAATAAAAATGTATTAACATCTTACTAAGAAATACAATGACTGGTGACGTAAAACATAAAAAATTATAGTTTATTAAAAAAAACATTAGTAATATATATATTTTTTTTAATGCGTAGTTTATATGCAGATAAAAATAATTAATTTTATATATACTATTATACCCAACTATACTAGATATACATTGTATATTTAAAAAACTTTACTAAAATATTTTACTAAAATAAACAATACAAAAATAAACATAAAAAACTAACAATTTAAAATATTTCTTATAAATTAATTAGAATTTTTAATAGTTTTTATTACTTTAATACAATTTAGAAGACAAACAAATAAAAACTAATATTAAGAATATTAATATTATTATTTTTTAAAAGTTGGATCAAGTTAATTAAAAAATTTATCAGGTAAAATTTATTTTGTCTAAAGTGAAAATTAAATGTATTGAAAAAACCAGCTGAGAATTACTAGAAAACATTTCTATACGAACTCTTAATCCGAATTAAAAATTAAATTAAAATCAAATGATTGAGTATAAAAAATAAATTCAACTTTAGTCATATAGGGTATCATATGATTCAGTATAAGAAAATAAATTAAACTAGTCATGTTGTGTCAAATGACAGTATGACTTAAAAACTAAACTTTAGTCACGTGGGGTATCAAATGATTCAGTATGACAAAATAAACTAAATTGAGCATGATTTTTTTGATAACCCTAATTTAATGAAATCAGTAAATACAATAATGATGCTACTACAGCAAAAAATGATTTGCAAAATATTCAGTGTTTAATATATATTTATTAGTCTTTAAGAAACAATAAAAACCAGTGAAAATGCTCATAGAGCATTGCCAGAACAAATTTTATGGCCTTTTTAAGGCCTATAAATTTTTAATTATTACGCATTTTATTATAGAATAATAATTTAAAATTATTAGAGAGGTATCATATGATTCAGAATAAGTAAGTAAATTCAAATATAGTCATGTATGGTATCAAATGATTCAACAATGCAAAATAAACTCAACTATAGCATGTTGGGTATCAAATGATTCTGTATGATTAAATAAACTCAACTATAGTCATGTTGGTTATCAAATGATTCCGTATAAAAAAATAAACAACTATCATTATGTGAGGTATCAAATAATTCAGTATGACAAAATGAACTAAAATATAGTCATGTGTGGTATCAAATGACTCAATATGACAAAATAAACTCAACTATGTCATGAAAGGTATTAAATCTTTCAGCATGACAAATAAACTACATTTTAATTTTTATACATTTGCCGCCATTTTTTCATAAAAATCGTAATCTTTTATACCTTATTTTTTATGCTCTATACAATTCTTAACGTTAAAATTTAAATCTATTTTTTTTATTTGGAAGCCATTTTTCTATGTTCCCGAAGAGATATCAAATTTTTAATGCTTATTCCTTATACTTGTTTTTGATACTATATTCAAATCTATACTTTTACTAAATTTTACCTAATATTTTTTTACTTTGGCCGCCATTTTCTCTATGATTCCTAATTCTACATAAATTGATTAATAAATTGATATGATTCTACATTAAGAGATATTGTAGCGGACAGATATACATGACGTAACTTTTTGCAATTTAATAGTAACAATAATTATGT